CTGGGTGACACCATCAAGTTGATTATCTGAGCTCTTTCCAGCGCACAGCCACCCATTGCAGCAAGCCAATCCTGAGGCTTTCTCCCGTCCCCCCTCATCGCCCCCTTCTGCCCTCCAGGTGTTTTCCTCCCATCGCTCGCTCAGTGCTAACCCCGATACTAGCACCATAGCACGGTGGACCCCGAGCAAAGTAGACGAGACGATGAAACGAGGCCAAACCCACGACTGAAATGAGCCACGACCCACTGATCAGCGACACCCACCATTGCCGACACCACAAAAGGGGTCGGTCAAGCAATCTTTCGGGTGTGGCTTGAAGGGCCGCCCGTCACAACCTCCAATAGGTAATCCAGCGTGAATTTCCTCTCTTTTGCTAACTAACTATCTTAGTCTGCAAAAGCAAAAGCTAGTTTAATGTGAGTGATCTCCGTTGTCCCAGGCGGCTGACTTGCTGTCCCTGACTCGCTCGGGGTTCGAATCGGGTTCTGAACTTCTGATACAACACAAGCGTGACAAGACGACTGCCATCGATCCGATCACGGCGTCTCTCATGCGGGGCAACGCCAAAGTACTTACGGAGTACTTTGCTCACACTTACGTGTCCGTGTTACAGGCAACCAGGCTAATGTCCCATCACTGTAAGGGGGAAGAGGAGGAAGAGGGGTGGGTGGGCAAAAGGGAAAGGAAACAATGGAGGGGTAAAAGGTCCGTGGACGGACCCCCCATGTAATACCTAGTATACGGACTTTACCGTCGTTGTTTGCTTGTGGTTGTCGTCACGCTCAAAAGTCGGGGGAATAAAAAGAAAAGGAATGGAGGAAAGAAGACGAAAGAGGGGGGGGGTTCAGCTTTCCCCCCCCCCCTCTCCTTGGCGCCAAAATACGGAGAAAAAATCCCAGGAATTACGGGGTTTAGGCATTACACGAACTACGGGGTAGACACCATTCCAACCAACTAAAACCTACCACCTACTGACAATTGCAGTTAGTAGGGACTCAGTATCTACATGCTACTAACCCAACACGGAGTACGCTCAGTACTCACATTTTGGACTCCGCTTAACGCTAGTCAGAGCTAGCTTGAGAACCGGTGCTCTTAGTTCTTTTGCCCAGCGTTTAAGACCAGAATTACCAGTAATAATAGCAGCAGCAGGGGCAGGAGCAGTAGCAGGAGCATAGAGGGTAAAAAAAATAAAAAAATAAAAGAGTGGGAAAATGAGAGAATAGGACTATACTATCCTCTAACCACAGTAACTAACTACCTACCTACCTACCTACCTACCCCTTCAAATCAAATCCCCAAAACCCAAAGAAAGTAATACTACCAAAACCACTCAGATACGTAGTCAAATAGTTTAAGATAGATAGGACAGATAACTAGCAATACCTGAAACAAACAAACCACCAAACCACCACATTCCGAACAAGCGGGATCATCCCGCGTCCCAGCCCATCCCTACTGTATCTATTTATCTAGTACTATAGTAGTATCTATCGGCCCCGGACCATAACGCGCGCGTGGCTTGAGCACCAACACAGTACACTAAACCCCAATCTGTCCATTTCATTCCTTTCCTCCTTCAGTCAGTCAGTAAGTAAGTACATACAGTAATAACGAATAAGTAACATGTTCGTATCTACACTCCACAGTAAGTAAGTAGTATCCCAGCCGATGATCGTTCCTCCCTCCCTGTCCGCCGCCCGTCTCTCTCCCTATCTTTCCGCGGGGGGGGGGGGCAGGGGGGGAAGATTAGCGTTTAGGCTCTCGGGATTTACATTACGATTGGCACGGCGCATGGATTATGTTATGTATATATGTATGTTTGTCACAGGATGAAGAAGGGGGAGAGGTAAATTGAAATCGGGAATTGGAATTGAAATCTGGGGATTTGTTTGCATCATTGTGCTTAAGGATCTGTCATTCTTGCGTGCCGGATGGGTTTCGGGTGAGGGGCTTTCAGTTTTCAGATTTTACTTGGTTGGTGGGTAGTATTTGTATGTATGTAGGTAGGTAGGTAGGGGTTTGATTTGAGATAGATGGGATGGATGGGGATGGAGATTAGGTGATTTGAGTTTGGAGTGTTCTGCAGAGCTTGATGGCATTGCTTGTTTCTTTTTGCAATGTAGTTACTACTGTTTTAGGTAGGTAGGTAGGTAGGTAGTAGTAGTAGTAGTGTGGTAGATTTTGCTAATATGACTATATGTGTGTATTGGTATTGTGGAAATTGGAAGAGTTGAGAGTTGAAGGTAACAAAGACATGGTGTATGTAGATCATTTGTGTCGTCTTTCACACAATAGAATCCAAACGGTAAACAAATAACCCCCGTTTCCAAGTAACAAATCAAAATAAAGCGAGTACAGGGTATCATAGTAGGCTAGGCTAAGGTAGCAGGCAAGCAATTCTTTCAAATCAATTCACAAAACAGTAATAATATCTCCAATTTCAACAGCAAAGAAAAATTCCTCGGTGCGGTATGGTGCGAGTGGCGGGGATGGAAGGAATTGGACGATCATCATTGAGCGGAGCGCTGTTCGCATGGAGAGTGGGACTCTGCTCAACGAGATGATCATCATCAGCCCTCGCCCCTCGCCCCTCCCCCCTGCCTGGTCGGTGACACCGCCACGCGGCCCCGCGCCAATACAAATTCCAATTCCACATGCTGAATTTAATATTCGCGTAATGTAGGGCGCGTTGCGGGGTGGAGGAAGGAGGTTCGATATTTGCAGTCGCGGTTGTGTATGTTTGATTTGCGACAGCACATGAATCGCGCCAATTTGCGAAATAATCGGCAGGGCACCGAGGAACACAACCAGATTCAATAGCTAGTATCCATATGGGGTAAACGGGTGACGCAGGAGTACAGGATCAACATGCGCAAACCCTCACTCAATCAGACACAACAAAGAATCAACAATCTGTGCCAGCACAGTAACATTGGTCCCGAGTAATGCATTGTTGGGTTGAGTAAACGGCGAGGCGAAGAAAGGGTGTAGAACCAGCATTTGTCACGTCGAAAGTCGGCTTTGTCTTCTCACTCGTCTCCGCCCGTTGTGGAATCCCACCATCGAGCTGGGATAGCGGTAGAGCGGACGAAATAATTGTGTCGCTTTGTCGGTGGTAGTAGTAGTGGTGTTGCCCCTTCTCTCATTTCCTTGAGTTCGCAGAGAAACGTGGGTTGGTTGGCTAGTCCGAGTTGAGGGCTTCAGCGGATGAAGCCGACCATGGATGCGCAGCGACTGCAGTAGTAGGAATTCATGCCGAAACGAACCACGCCGGGAGAGGATTCGTTTTCGAGACTCATAGATCGTTGACAGCGAGAGCAGCGCACAATGTCGAAATTCATGGAGCCGGGGGTCGAGCCAGTCGGGGATGTGACCCCCTTTGTGGCGCCGGAAGGTTGCGGTTGAACTTGCACCGAGGAAGAGCTCATCTTCTCCTTTCCGCTCCGGTTGGGGGTTCGAAAGAAAAAAAGATGAGCTTTGTGGTGACCAGTGAAGTTGGGCGCAATTTCGATATCCGAAGTTCTGCAAAAATGGGGGACCGAGAAAGGTCGAAAATGGTTTTTGGAGAATGGGGGGTGGAGGGGAGGATGAGTGGTTATTTAGGCACGTTCAACTGGGTGGCGGAGTCGATTAGATTGTCTTGGGAAAACACGGAAATACAACGGCGATAGCGTTGTATGGTTCTGGTAGTGCCCGGGTAGCTTTGGTAGCTTAGTAGGCAGCAGATTGACCACGTGTGAAAGGAACAACAAGAAGGAGGAAGAATAAGTTCCAGACGACAGTGAAATAATAGGCAGAAGAGTTAAAAAGGAGTGACCGGAGAATCGAGCTGGGTTGGGAAGTAGTGACTGGAAGGTATCTATACTACCAGAGCCCAGCGCCAAGCGAAGTGCTCAGGGTCAGATCGATCCACTTTTTTCCGCGCCTGTTTTGCACCGGCCTGAGCTAGTTGGGTAAAATAATAGTCCTTTATATTATTTTCTGACGAGGCACAGGGGAAAGGAGGAGGCGGCGTTTGGAGGGAGGGCAGAAAAAAAAATAAAAATAATAAAATGATAAATAAACGAAAATGAGAAAAAAAAAAAAAATTATAAAATAGTAGCTTTTTTTTTATGTCTCTCTTTTAAAAATAAAATCGACCCAAGACAGGGGGACGGTCGAGCTTCAAGAGACTAATAATAAGAATGAGGCTAGCAATCAATACCGATTGAGGGATAAGGCAGCCGATAGTTCTTGTGAGAAAGCTGCTGCTGCTGCACGGAATGTGGATGCCAGTTTCAGAGTTGAATCTGGAGGATGTCAACCATGAAGAGATGGAGGGGGGAGGGAAGGCGAGGATCAGTCCTTCATGTATGTAGGCCGGATTCCTCTGCGATGGAATGACGATGTTAATATCCTGGTCTCAGGTTGTGTGTAGAACGACGACATGCCATGACATGAGAGGTGGCCGATTCTTATGACTTGAACCTGTTGAGGGGGGAAAGTTGAGTGGTCTTGTCTTGTCTTGTCCTGTCCTGTCCTGTTATGCTCTGGTCGGGTTTGTCTCACAGGCTTGCCCGTAATTTTAGTTCCGGGTCGTCTGGAGGTACCAGGGCATGCTGGAAGTTACCAGACGGTTACCGACACCATCCACTGGTGCGTTGACTGACCGTTTCCTTTTCCTGCCTTGAGTTTTCTGCCCTCCCCGGTCGCATTATGGTTCTTCGGGGACCAGTAGAGTCGATCGATTAGAGATCGGTCGACAATAATGATGTGATCTTAATTCATTGTCTTTTTATTATAATTCTCTTTTTAATTTTGACTTTCAACTGTCCTGTCGGTCACTTTTCAAGCAATGCCAGTATCCTGCATAGATTACAAGCCACTACTTACGTATGTAGTGCTAGGGTTCTGGTTATATTCTTGCTCTGTTAAAAGTGCAGCTGCCACAGGACTGACTGACTGACCTAATTACTAGATAATCATCAACCTATAACATAACTGTACTTTTACTTACGCTTGCTTGCCTTCTACCTCACATGCAGGCCAGCGAGGCTTGGTTTGGCTGCGTCAACCACCCCTCGTCCGCACATCGTGGCTTTTTCTCCTCTCGTTGGTGCTTCGCTCCCAAAGCCGAGGGTCGTGTCGTCATGACTGATCCTGGTGGATGGAGTCGTCCGGGGCGATCGCCTGGACTGTTAGTGTTGGGTACTGGTTTCGATCTGCCATTCTCCTCTTCCCTCAGGAACACTCGTGGTCTTGCTGTACTTGTGGTTCGACAAATGAGAGCCCGAAGGGCCGGTAATCGGCGTATCGGTTCGCCCTCGCTGGTCACCTCCACCACCTCCACCGTTCCGTTCCCACTATCTTTTGTGCCTTAGTCATGCTAAGTCAGTCCAACGCACGAGATATGGGGCTATTGGAATTTTTGCAAGGGCATATGAAAATGGTGAAAAATGAGAATGAGAATATTAAGTGGACCATTACACCTTGGCGGAGCATGGGGTACCCTGGTGCCCTGGTGTCTTTTTTTGCCCTATTTTATGTCTTTCAGTGGCTGCCTGTCACTGCTGAACCCAACTAAACCTCCATTGAACAAGTGTCAGTCCCAAACACGCTGCTGAGTGGGTGAACCATGATACCATTCTACGGGTCTCCCAGGCTGTCGGAAGTACGGCGCTACCAGGAATCGACCATGGTCATGTTTCCGGAAAAAGTAAGCCTCAGCTGCTCGATTGCAGTCTGCGATTGGTAGACCATGGATCGTAGCTATCATCATCATGATCTCTCCATGACAACCAGAACCCTGTCGATTATTCATCATTCAAAAAAGTTCCTTATGGTCAAATTATTGCCATCAAAGTACTCCGTACAAAGGTCAGGCATGAACCCATCATTTGCCAATATTACCTCAGCCTCGTGCAAAGACCTGCGGCTGTGTTGCATACCGTGACTCGCGAGGCGGTTACGGGCTCCACCCCGGGCGTTTCAGACTCTTCTGTCAGACATTGAAAGGATCCCCCCTCCAGTCGCCATGCCATGTCCATTCCTCGCAGGTTTTATCGGGCAGTCGATCCATGCTGTCCGGTTTAAGGCATTTGGACAGTTTCATACCTCCTGATGCAATATCGGCGTAGGCATATACGGACCATAGGAATGTTCTACCGGCTCGGGCCTTTCCCAGCTGCCTAACTATCCAGTAGCAGCACCACTATCCTGAGTTATCCATCCGGGCGCAGTGGACATTCCTTGATCGCCCGTCATTCGGCTTTCAACGGAACCCGTTTCCGTGCTCTCACTCTGCGCCCTCATTGTCGTTGCTGCACCCCAGGGGCTAGCGGATGGTCTGATCCATTTTTTCCCTCAGCAGGCTGTCTGCTGGACCAAAAATACCTGATTCATTTCGTATCTCGAATTGCGCTTGGGAACCCAGCCAAAGCCGGCTTGTCTTGGTAAGTGTGGCTAGCGAGCTAGCTGCAGTCGATTTCTTCTTCTTTCACAGTGGGGAAAGGGAAACCTAGCCGAAAACCCGAATCCCTACTCCCGTTCCCCTACCCTGCCATGCATTATTGGGGGATGGGACGGAGTGAGCTAGTTGGCCTGAGATCCATGCCTACGGTGTCCAGCACCGCAGATGCTTGACTCCTTTTTCCTTCGTGCGTGTGCATTCTGAGGGCCGTGAGATCCTTGAGGCATTTTCTGCTTATGTACGGGGTAGGATCCTTGTGCTATTTTTGTTGATCTCTCACTCTCTTGCTTCGTAGTGTCCGGTAATTCGCCGATCCGCAATGGCCCTGCAACTACAGACTAGATGCCTTTTCATCCCAGCATCACGGCTAATTGCCAAGAATGGGAATGATGACAGCTATGGACTTTAGTTCGGATGTTCATTTTGGTAACACCAACCACCAACCACCATACCGGAACGCTTCGCTGTACCTAGCAATCCATACAGCACCCCATCTGTACTTCATTCCCCTCTTCAACCCCACTTTGAAAAAGGATAATGCTGGCTGCTGCTCCAGGTGCAGCAGTATAACCTGTAGCCACATCCTATAGTCTTCCTATTCTGCATACGGGGGACTGGAAAAGACAGGTCGTCTGGTGCAGAGGGAAGGATGCACGGCAGGTCCGTGTCACCTGATATGCCTTGCCCATGCATCATTTTCTGTCAAACGGGCATAGCCACGAGTCATGGCCTATGGAAATTTTTGACGTACTCTAGGACTGGGATCACGGCCTCAGAAAAAGGAAGTAGACCTGCATACTTTACCGTGCGTAAAATTAACACCCCAGATCCATGCATTGGCCGTATGGAAACGATGTATGTATCGAGGTTGATACCATACTCACGATGGCTACGGGAGTTGCGGAAGTCAGGCACATGTATTTTATTTTCTTTCTCAACAGTGCCGCTTTTTCCTTCTCGTCTCCATAGCGATTCAGAGGATGGCCTGCTTGACTTCCGGGCTTTTCCACAACTTCTTCAGGCTCTTACGGGGCAAAATAGGGCCATTGCGATGATGGTGCCGACCTGCACCGATGCACTGATACCGCTAGTTTAGGACAGTCACCGGGTGCCAGCATTGCCTTATGGAGGTCATCCTACTGCTGGATTCTTCTCTGGCATCTGCAGGATGGTGTAATCGCGCGTGAGCATCCGGTCCGCACCCCGTTGGCGGTAATGCACGAGGACTAAAACGTCAGTGCCTACGACTTGTCCTATCGACTTTGTATCGTTCTTTCCCATCATTTGAGTGGTGGTGTTCAACCGCCGAGGGTCCAACACTGCCAATCATCATCGGTAATGCTTTAGTCACAATGCAGCGGTAATTTTATGAGTTAGTTAGCAGCATTCTGTACCAACTAGTTAGTTAGTCAGTGGATAGTTGTAAGTCAGTAGGTTGAAGCTTCCCAGTTCCTCCCACTACAGACAGCGAGACGTTACGGTGACATCATCTCACATGCATCGGTTTCTCTTTCGTGTTCCCTTCCCCTCCATTGAACGACCAGGAACCGACGAGGCATCAAAACAGGGAAAATTCGCAATTCACGAACAATGGTGTTTATTCAGTATTCCCGTCTCTTCAAAGCTTCCGAGGTGGGATGAGAGCATAAGACGAGCGAGAGAGAACCTCGCCGAATATCCGAGTCTGAGAAGTCGAGATAGGAACTCTTCTCTTATCGAGCGGGTCACAATCCATTAAACTCGTTCCTGCAAAAGAGCTTCCCTTCCAGTTCCCTCCCTTCCCCTCCCTTGGTGATGGCATCAACAACGACGTCATGGTTAGGGTCTGGGACTGCCACATCTTCCTTCCCGACTGACCATCGCGCAATTCTAGATGATCTAGTCCTACACACCAGTATCAACTGACAACCCGACATTGTAACCAGTGACTCGTCAATCCATGGGAAGCGACCGTCACTAGCGTCTTTCTGACGAAGATTGGGTGGCCCCCCTCCTCTTTCCCTTCTTTTCCCTATCTCCCAGGCAATAATGCTATCCACATCATGATGCTGTAAGAGAAAAACAATAATAATGATGATGGGGGGTTTCCTGGACTGGCTTGTGGATGGCGCAGGAACGTGTTCCCAGATTGCGCCCGGGTTGTGATTCGCTTTCGGCAGGTACGGAGTCTTTCCAGTGTCTCCTCTGCTGCCCCGCCACACCCCGCCTGAAGCTGTTGACCGAAAACCACCACCACCACCACCACCACCACCACCAACTACCTACCAACTACCAAGTAACCAGCGACCGAGAATACTACCCTTTCTTCTCTTCTTCCACCTCGTGAATTTTCCCATCTTACTTCTCTCCCCACCCCCCATCTCACCCGCGTCTTATCTAGCCGTAACAATGGCCGGATCTGCTCCCAACCTCTACAGTTTCCCTAACAACGACGCTTTGGCCCAGCAATTGAGGCCCTACGTCTTGCGGTGTCAGAACTCGGCCCTCAGCCGTCACAGCACATTCCGCGTCGCAGTCTCTGGTGGCTCCCTTCCGAAAGTCCTCGCCCAAGCTCTGCTGGCCCCTGGAAATGGCTCCCCCGAGGATACCGCTCAGTTCTCCAAGTGGGACATCTTTTTTGCCGATGAGCGCGCCGTGCCCCTCAATCACGAAGACAGCAACTACCGCCTGCTGAAGGAAGAGCTACTGAACAAGATCCCCTCGGAACTGGGTGCCCCGACCGTGCACACGATCGACGCCGATCACGTCAACGATGACGACCCGCAGGAGCTGGCGGATCTGTACCAGGAAGAGCTGATGCGTTCCTTTGCCGCCAAGGATAGCGTCAAGCTGCCCGTTTTCGATCTGATCCTACTGGGATGTGGCCCCGACGGCCACACTTGCAGTCTCTTCCCCGGACACGAATTGCTGCGGGAGAAGGATTCCTGGGTGGCTGCCATCAGCGACTCTCCTAAGCCGCCCCCGAAGCGCATTACTCTGACTTTGCCCGTGGTGACTCACGCCCTCAACGTCGCTTTTGTTGCTACTGGCGGTGGAAAGAAGGACATCATGAAGCAGATCTTCGACGCTGAGGAGGGGAGAGACCTGCCCTCCGCTCTCGTCAACCAGGGTGGTGGTGAGAAGGTGAGCTGGTTCACCGATAATGCAGCCGTGGAGGGTGTCGCTTTCCCCCGACGTGGAAGCCTGTAATTTATGAGTGGGACTGGTACGAAACTGCTTTGATATGATGGCTGGGGTGAAGGATAAGAGGGAGAGAGTCATGGCGAGGCTACGGAAGGATTCAACTAATCTCAAAATGGCCCCCTGAGCTTTACTATTATTCGACCACCTGTATTACCAGAGCAAGGGGGACGGCTTAGGATCACGTATGTTCAAGGCTGGATGAACTGTTCATTGCCTCTTATCTTCTAGCTGTTGGAGGGTTTCTTCTTAGACTTGCCAAAAGTTTGTGTTATCGTTATCCTTCTGATATCACAGACAGGTCTTAATTGAATGAATGAGGATGACTTTCTAATTGTATTCGAGCTGTCTGTCTCTATTACTAAATAGTAGAAAGAAATTCCACCTATGCCCGGAGTATCGATGTAGACATGCATCGGGAATGAATGAATGATAGCTGTCCATGCAGATGGGCTCGATCCACCTGACGCGGTGCCAAGCTTTGCCCTGGGGGAAAGCGGAACTTCACCGCAAGACGGGCAACCACGGACCTGCCGTCCTCAGCTGAGCTCAGGCCTCGTCTATTTACAACGACGGTTTCCGGGCAGCGTATCTATTCCCTCCGGCAAAGCCCCGTCTTGGACTGATCTGATTGCAATCAGTCGAATGTCACACATATGATTTGATCTTCAGCAATCATGCCAATTCCAACGCGTTCCCTTTCGCTTCGTGAGCCCCGCAAACAAGTTAGTGTCGCATCTGCTAGTAGCCCATTCCACCATCCCTTCCCCCTAGCGCCCATGAGAGCTACCCATCCCTCGCATGCTTTTGCTCTCCACCAACACTACTGACGTCTGTTATCATCAAAAAGAACTCTACTACAGTGCGCACAACAACGACGGGTAAGCCAGCATCAACGACTTCGACATCAGCAACCAGCACATCTTCCAGCGCTGCGACCAGCACCGAGAACCTCGTGACGCGGAGCAAGAGCCTCCTGCCTATTCGCGATGAGGGACGTGCGACAAGATCCTCTCGTCTACAACCACCGTCTGAGCCCCGCGTATCCCAGCGGCCTAGCAAGCCTTCAGATAAGGTCCCGCAATCGCAGCAGCCCGCTCAAGAGAATACCGGTATCACCCGTCGCCAAAGCCTGATCAGACCGAGCCCGCTGAAGCCTTCGGCACCTCTGAAGCCTACCTCTACCTCGTCCAGAAGGCCTACCGTTGCTCCAAGTCTGTCATCGCCGATTAAACAAGAGATACCCTCCAGACAGAATGGACGACCTTTATCGCCGAAGAAAATCGAGACATCCGGGAGACAAAATGGACGGCCTTTGTCCCCGAAGAAAACCGATATGCCTCCGCCTCCGCGACTTGCCCGGTCGGCTTCTCTCAGACAGCCTGCTTCCTCGAGCTCGAGCACGCCATCCGTGACTAGAGGTCATGCGCGGCATCGCAGCCAGGGAATCGGGCTACCTTCGGGGCCTCAATCTCCGAGGAAAGTTGACCCTCCTTCGCCATTTCCTACCTCCGCCACTGTACGGTCACGGGCTCAGCTCTCGACCTACCAACAACCGCTCTCCCCAAAGAAGGTGGCTAAGCCAACGACTGCAACACAAGCGGCAGAGTCGCCCGCCGTGGACGCAGATTCCTCGTTACTTCCTTCGTCTTGGCCGGAGGTTGCAGTGCTACAAACTGAACTCTTACAATTGAGCTTGGTGCACTTGTCTTCGTGCAAACAACACATTGAATGGGAGACTACCGTTGAAGCACGACTACGGAGCGATTATAATTCAGTGGCAAGCGACTATCGAGCGGCCCTGGGCGATGAGAAAGAGTACCAGAGACAGCTCAACGGGCATGCGTTGCATCACTGGCTTGAGAACACGCGTGAGCGCAATGAGCAACGAGGGTTTGCAGAGCAGATACGGATACTTTCTCAAGTAGCAGAGGAAGTCTACAATCTCTCTGACAACTTGGAAGGACGGCACACAGTGGCTGTCCAGGATTTCGAAGCCTGGTTTCAAAGAGTTGAGGAGATACGGACATTTCGTCTTCATCATGGTCGCAACTTGGACCAGGTAGTTTTTGTCGATCCCTTGAACCATGGTTGGCGGGACGAGACATCTGCCTTGGTCATGAAGCTTGAACTGTGCCTGAGACAACTGCAGAGCCTGGACATTCTTGGATATGGCGATCCGGGTCCTTTAGGCGACTCCGCGCTGTTTCGGACAGCCAAGGGGCTAGAAGAAATGGCCAGCATGATGGTTGAGGAACTGAACACGATCCGTAAGATTGAAAGCGACGTCGTAAAGTCAGAACGCGAGTGGGTTAGTCAGCTGGCCCGGCAATTGACTGCAAATCCGGCACATGATCGGAAGGTTCCAGCAGTTGGAATGTGGAGACGGCCGTCGTTGAACTCGTGAATTTCGCTGTACGCCGAAGAATTGGGGCGAAGGTCAAACTGGAAGGAACCTGTTACGGTCAACCTGTTCCGTTATCGAACCCTATCTTCCCCAGGGGTATAGCATGCAGTTTACTGCTTCTGCCGGATCTACTAGCGTAAGCGGAATCGAACCATGGGACCGATTCGCAGGCACCGTCTGCATAGCCAGGCATGCATGTGTCATCCAAGGACCCCAAAAACCGGTTCTCGCAGAAGTCCTGTTTTCAACGAGAGAGCAAAATCATTCGCCAGAATTCTGCGCTAGCCCTTCCTAGGCGGGCTTCTGGCCAGCGGCCGGACAACATTCGGGGTGCTTAACGATACTACGGCCGGTTATCATAGCCTCTTGAGATTCTAGAAGCTCAACCATCCCACTTTAATTCTTGATTTTGGGGAGACGGCTGGAGCAAACCTGTTCACCCGACCAGCGACCTCTCGCGCGCTTGTGACTAAAAGGGAGAAAGGGAGGAGAGGGAGCGTGCGATGGCCTGGGTTTAGATCCCCTTGTCCGATGCTCAGGGTGTCCGTTCTCTTGCATGTTCCGTGAGAGTCTAAGCTGTTCTTTCCCCTCCAAAGAATCGGTCTGCGCTGTTTGTGAATCTGTGCTACCAATGGCCATGTTTCACCGCGGAAAGGTCTACAGCAGTGCAGGCCTCGGCTTGCGACAAGCATGATAAATTTGACCGCTGGCTACATCAAGCTCTGCCTTGTGTGTTTCCGCGGACGTTGTGCACATCCGTGCAGATCGCTTGGGTAAATGTGGAACCCTCGAATGTCTGATGATGAGCCCAACGTACTAAAGGAGAAGGGGAGGAAACAAACAGGTTCTTCTCTGGCTATTTCCAGAGCGGATTTCCAGAGCTCAAATTGGAGTGCTCCGATGTAGGCTCAACCCGTGCGTATAGATACTGTCGAGGCAAATAGTAATGAATGACCTTGGTTACACCCCGGAGACGAGGAGGGGTAAATGACTACCGAATCCCTGAAGCGTAGGAAGGAGAACAGGGAGTGTACACGTAAACTGCTCCCGACCAGGGAGTAGGAGGTAGACTATAGGATGTGTGGCTCTCTGACCGAGGTTTAGTTTATATACAATCCTGCCATCCGCCAAACTCCTTATTTTAGCGCGGCCAGTGACTAAGCAACGTGGGGAGAGGTGTCGTCATTGACGTTGGTCTTTCCGAAGCAACACCACAACTGGAACGGGATTCTGTCTGGATCTCGAACGAACTTTTTGGAGTGACACCCTCGGGTGGTATCTACCCTAGTCAACCCGATTAAGCTTCACCCAGAGCCAACCGTAACGGCTCCTTCAGTCCTTCCTCTAAGAATAATCCACTCCCCGTCCAACTAAACTAGGCTCCACCTCAGCGGTGTAACTCCTTCTGGTCAACGATGCCTATTGCTTCAGCTACACACCTTCGCAGCTGGAGCCCAACAGACTACTGTGGGATCTAATGCACCTCCTGGCGCTGGCCCTCCTCCTCCCCCCCCTTGTGTATTGGATTCCTCTCGACTCAGTCCATCGACGATCGGGGACTCTCCTGAATGGGTAAGACTAGATGTGCTCGGAAATCCTGTGAAAGAATGGGGGGAGGGAGGGAACGAGGACCATTGGATGAGTCTTCCTGTAGGATGGAGGAGTAGGTTGTCAGTTACTAGTCAATTAGTTTTCTCTGTAGGAGCCGTAGTTAGTAGTTTACTACTACTGCTACTACTACTTACTACCTACCTACCTACTATATAAGTCGAGTCCTGTATCGTCCGGAATTCTTTCCCCCTCTCCCTTCCCTCTTCCCCCCAAAATTGGAGACATTTTCCTACATGTATCCTGCAAAGTACTAGTTCGGGACTTACTATCTATTTGTCTGTGTCTTTCTTTCTTTCTTTTTTTTTTTTCTTTTATTTTTTTCTTGACTCAAAAGATAGTATTTAGTGTACCAACAGTGATGGGTCCCAAAGTTTATGCGGTGTTTGACGTGGTTGTGACCTGAGCTGGTGGTGCCTTGGGTGCATTTCTCCTCTCTTCCTCTATTCTTCCCCCCGATAGCCTGGGCCCGGTGGAGCTGAGCTGGTGCTGGTTCCTTTTCCCCTCTTGCTGGCTGGCTTGCTTGCTTGCTTGTTCTTCCCGCCAGTGTCTGTCTGTCTGTCTGTCTGTCTGTCTGTCTCTCACTTTCTTGCCGTCTTTCTCTGTCCTCTTCCATTTTGTTCTTTGGCTTCCCCTCCAACTAACGGGACAAAGTACGAAGTGCCAAGTAGCGCCAATTACCATAGAACGTCTTCATCTTTCCCACCCCCAACAAAACCCATCTACTGCTGGTATGAAACACCCCACTTTCAAATTGTTTTCCTTCCCGTTTATTTTCTGTTTTGATGGTCACTATTTGTCACGGTTGTCAACCCTAGATCTTTTCGCGAGCTGAACGGTGTTGATTTTAATGTGTTGTGTTGGGGAAGGATCCTTTTGACTTATCAATCCCGAGGGAATGAATGTCTGGACCGTTCGCCATCCTCCCGTCACCACCACCACCCACACCACCTTAGCCTTTTTTCTTCTCCTCTCCTTTTTCGTCTCGCTTTCTTCTTTCCCTCTTGAAATCCCTCACGCTACTCTCTCTACTCCACTGGCTATTCTTCTTCCTCTTGCTTTCTTCTCATCTGACACTGTGATTCTCCTTCCCCTTCCTGACCAGCCTATGTCTACCTTTTCGTTTGTGAGCTTTGCGCCAACGCGATTTGCGCACGTTCGAGTCTGACGTCATTGAAGGTGTGGCAGCAGCAAACTTCCACGGCGCGCAATGCTTCGATCTCGTGTCGCCTGATTGTCCACTATCTGTCGCCTATTCATCGACTTAGCCATGAAGGAGTCGCTTTATGATCGCATCTGGCGCCGGGAATTGGGGGAGGACTCCCGGTTCGCGAGCATTCATGGCCTTTATGGATCCAAGGATTGGGTGGAAAACCTGGATATCGTGAACGAACTGGGTGGGCATTCGGGCTGTGTGAATGCCTTGAGGTATGATATTATTGCGCTACGTTTTTGAAGTGTCTTTTGGAGGAATCGTTTTGTAGTGGGAAACCCTGTCTGGCGAAATGCATCGCTTCTGACGCTGCGTAGTTGGTCGCGGTCAGGCCAGCTTCTAGCTTCGGGCTCGGACGACCAGCACCTGAACATCTATTCCTATCAACCCGATTCTTCCACCGCACCATTCTCCTTAAATACAACCGTCGCGACGGGCCACAGCGCGAACATCTTCTCGGTTAAATTTATGCCACACTCCAACGATCGAACTTTGGTGACTTGCGCCGGTGATTCCCAGGTTCGTATCTTTGACATCGAATATTCCAGCAATAGCAGCAACAGCGTCGACGCCACGTCTGCCTTTTCTGCATCTGCACGGAGCCGAAGGTTTAACAACTTTTTCAACAATGCACGCTACTTGAATGCGGGGAATACCAACGTCAGAGTTTATCGCAGTCATGCCGATCGGGTCAAGCGGATCGTTACCGAATCGTCGCCCTACCTCTTTCTGACGTGCTCGGAAGATGGCGAGGTTCGTCAATGGGACTTGCGTCAACCATCGTCCGCCTACCCAAAGCCACGAGGCGGCCAAGGATACATGGCTTTTCGACCAGGACAGGAACATGACGACTCCAATGTACCACCTCCGCTGATTTCTTACAAGAAGCACCGACTCGACCTCAACACCATCTCGTGCTCTCCGAGCCAACCCCATTACATCGCGCTAGGCGGGGCCCATCTTCACTGCTTCCTGCATGACAGGCGCATGCTAGGTCGCGACTTGATGACGGAGAGGGGTGATCCGGGTGCCTCGCCTGGCAGTAGTAGTCACGGTGAGCAGCTGATGGATCAGGCGACGCGGTGTGTGCGGAGGTTCGCCCCTAACGGCCAGCAACGAATGAAAACGCGTGATGACGGACATATCACGGCCTGTAAGATTAGCGACGCCAACCCAAATGAGATGGTTGTCAGCTGGTCCGGCGATCACATATATAGTTTCGATTTGATTCGGAGCCCGGATGCAAAGGAAGATGCGTCCAAGCGCCAATCCTCCGCCCGGACGACACCGGTCCCGCGTCGGCGCCGAGGCTCTAAGACTAGGAAGCGTAAGCGACAGAATGGGACTTCGATGTCCTCGCAGTCCAGCGGAAATCAAACCCGACCTCGTCGTCGACCCAGAGAGCGTCCCGATGAAGGCGAGCTGGCCTTCCGAGTCCGCTATGGCAATGGCGAGTCAGAGGACATTCCCCTCCCGTCTCTCACGGAACACCATGCTGAGGTCCCCCAAAGACTGCTGGAGCAGTCCCGATTTTCTGTGCTTAATGAAGCGCAGAAGCTCAGCATGCGCATCGCCAAAGACATGGTCAAGCTCCGTAAGGCAATGTTTTCACTGGAGACGTCCTTGCGCGAAGAATATGAAACCTCCAATCAAGCTGACCTGACACCGTTCACCGAGTCCTTTTCGACTGTACTAACCCTTGCCTCCATCTGTCTCCCGCAGATGGATGAGATTATGCGTACCTGGCGATACCCTGTCAACCCTACTCCCGATATTGTGCGCTTCCAGCAAACCTTGCGTCGAAACCGACAGACCTCCTGGCGGTTCATTCAAGCTGCAGGCACAGTCGCACGAGTTCTAGGGGGTGAAGTCCAATACACCCCCGGAGATGTAGATCGTGACATGGAACCTTTTCAACAGATACACTCGCCCTCGCTTGAACGCACGGTCGATCATAAGGAGCAGTTCGGTTACGAGTTCATCAAGGCTATACTTCTCTTTGTAGAAGGTGGTCGGCAAGCTCTTCTGGCAGGGTTCAAGAAAGATGCAGCGTCCCGAGGGAACCTGTCCAGGTTTCCGATAGCCGAGAATGCGGATGAAGATGCGATTGAGTCCGTCTTGATTCCCTACCTGCAGAGGCTGGCGGGGGATGTGCCTGTTGTGAACGTGGACGCCTCGCGCTTTGAACATGATGACGCTCGTATCCTCTTTCCTACTCAGCGCCACGCCGTGGCCGCCTTCGCAAATGTTGTCAAATATCCAGTTGAAACCCTCGTAGATACGGACCCCACCCTGCGCAATGGGACATCAACTGAACCCTCTAGCCGTACCCACGACTTGTTTTTGTTAACTCATTACTGGGTCTTCAAGGTGGCCCGTGGTGTCCTTCTGGAGACCGGAACCGGGGTAGATTATGCCTTTTTAAACCGGGCTTTTGGAGGCTTTCGGACGAGGGTGGAAAGTGACTCCGAATCCGAAGTGGAGCCAGAGAGATCCCAAAATGATCTCGAAGCTAACGTGGAGGAAGAGCCCATCCGCGATGTCAACCTGAAGATACTGCGGAGGTCGCATCTTGCCACTCGAGAGAGCTCGGAGGTAGAGACAGGCGATTCATCGGGCATCCAGACCCCGTTGTCCGATGATGACGGCGAAGAAGATGCTTTGGCATTGCCAGATATCGATGATGACAGTGAGAATGATGTCGGCTTCCCCGTTGCAGAGGAGGAGGACGAAGATGAAGACGAGGAAGATGACGATGAAGATGATGATGAAGAAGAGCTCGATCTAGACCTGAGCAGTTCTGCCGATGACAGTGACGACTCCGAGGCTGCCGATCATATATTCAGGGAGTATGGCCTTCAGCCCCGAGAAAGGGAGTACGTGGACGTTGATGTTCCCTGTTCCTCGCACACCCGAGTCTACATGGGCCACTGCAACATCAAGACCGTCAAGGACGTCAATTACTTTGGACTGGACGACGAGTACGTAGTGAGCGGCAGCGACTCTGGCCACATTTTCATTTGGGACCGGAAAACCTGCAAGCTAGTCAACATCCTCGAGGGTGATAGTGAAGTAGTCAATGTTGTGCAAGGTAAGAATTTCCCCAACCATGGGTATATCAGTTGCTCTTTTGAGGGTATTTAAGCCAACGGTGCTTTTGCAGGTCACCCGTATGAACCTACCATTGCAGCCTCTGGAATCGACAACACCATTAAGGTCTTCTCGTCCGACCGACGTGCTCAGGAAGATGCTCGGCGTGGTATCAACATCTTGGATCCTGACAATCCGGCCAACACGCTTGGATTTGGACCGAATGTCAGCACCATCGGTGGTCTGGGGAGTCGCAAGCGCTTGCATGATAGTTATCGGATCATGAGCCAGAACGATGTAGACCGACAAGGCGGAATGAGCGAAGCATACATTACTGTAGGTCTACCTGATTCGGTATTTCAGCTACGACAGAGCATTGGGCTAATGTTAACGAACAAAACAGAGGCACATGCTGGCCCGCCTGGCGGCAACCTTGCGAGACCAACGGCACGGTGTAACGGTGGGCGAAGGAGGCGAACATGCTACGCTTGTTTTGGATGATAACAGCTGCAATGTATGTGCAATATGGATCCAACCATCTCTAACAGCTCCCCTCTCGGCTAACTAATTGGGATCCAGGTGATGTGATCTGACCTCTTTGACTGGACTTATGGGAGGGTGTCTCGGGCTGCCTACTACCCGAGCTGCACCCGTTGACAGGATTCGTATTTTTTTTCTCTTCCTCTAACCTCCAGCTTTACCTTCGTCGTTGTTATTAATAATAGATTCTAGCCCCCGCGTCATCATCTTGTGTCTGTTTCGCGGTCGCTTTCCAGCAGTTCTGGTCACAGCCCGTGCATCTCGGTTTTGGAGCAATGAGCCGGCGTTTTCTGAGGGCAAAAGCAAAGCAATTGATTGAAACTATCGGATACTCTTACCAAATGTATAGCAGCAGAGCAGCGTAGCAGGTCATCTTAGTTCAAATCATCTTCCTGACTAGGGCTTCAAATCTAGTATTTCATAGCTTATCACCACGTGACCCTTATCGATTCCCCCGCATTTGTCCCTCCAATTTTTGGCTTTTTTTCACTTTGCCTTCTTCCCATCTTGCGTCTTAATTCTCAACATCCAACTCGATTGCTACTCGCAATTGAAAATGCAGGCCCTACAGGATCGAGCGGACATTACCGCTCGTCTCTTTGCTGACCCTCACAACCCACATCTGTACTACAAACGAGGCCTTGTCCACCAAACCCTGGGCTTTCCCGATCTCGCATCCGCCGACGCATACCGCGCCCTCTCCCTACTTGACTCAGTCGTCGATCCCGATGGCTGCGAGTTTCACGCCACACGGCGCATCCAAGACGCACCAGATGCTCCTGCGGCAACTGAGGAGGACGACGATGATGAGGAAGATAATTTCACTCCCATCACACAAGACGAGTACGACTCCATAATCGGGGACGTCTACGCCCTTCTCGTGCGTAGCCTAGTCGACTGTGGCTGTTTCCGGGACGCCTTCGAATTTTGCGTGCGTGGACAGGGTCTTCTAGAGGACATGCCACAGAACGAGCGCAACGCCTCCGCCCAAGCCGTGCTCAAGGACCAACTGGCCATCATCCGGAAGAACTACGAAGCCCGTCAAGGGACCACCACCGGAGACGCCAACATCAACCCCAGCGCTCTGAACGCCCAAGGCTTCGCCCGCCGAGTCCTCTACCCCTGGAACGAGCACGAACCGGACCGCAAGTCCCCCGAGACGCTGCAGCTCCTGAACGAGCGCCTCAAAACCGTTGCGCCCAAATGCGAAGTCCGCGCCGTCGCCTTGCCCGCTTTACACGGCACCACCACCACCGAGGACGAAGTCTCCGTCCAACTCGGCCTCTTCGCCAAAGAAGACATCGCCCCCAATGAAATCATCCTCCGCGAATCCTCCCTCCTCACCGCCACCAACCGCCTGCACGACGACCTCTGCGACGCCTGCAACGCCCCGCTCCCCGATCTCTCCTCCCCCAATCCCCCCGTCGCGTGCGACGGCTGCGCAGACACCATCTTCTGCTCGCAGGCCTGCCACGACGACGCACAGCGCATCTACCACGGCGCCGTCTGCGGCCTGATGGAGAACCTCGAATCCATCGGCAAAGACATCCCCGACCCCAAGGACAAGGCCGATTACCTCTACCTCCTTCTTCTGGGCCGCACGCTCGCCATGGCCGCTACCCAGGAACTGCACCCGCTCGATCTCCCCGAAGTGAAATACATCTGGGGCGATTTCCATGACCTCGACCTCAACGACACCAATAACACTAGTGAAGACCCAACAGCAACCCTCCCCTTCTCCTTCCAGCTCAACATCCTCCAACCGATGCGTCTCCTCGAAGAAATGGAAATAGACCCCTACGCTGCCCTCCCCCGCTTCGACACCTGGGTCTTGAATACCCTCTACGCTAAGTTCCGGGGTACTGCGTCGGGCCGGCTCTCGACGTGGGACGGTGGTCCGGAGCTTTGTGCTGTGCATCCGCTTTGGTGTCTGGCGAATCATTCTTGTGATCCGAATGTGAGGTGGGAGTGGGGTGGTGAGATTACGTTCCGGGCTAGGGAGGAGAGTGAACGGGCGGTTTGGAAGAGGGTTAAGGGTGAGAGTGAGAGTGTGCCTGGAGGAAGAAGGAGACAGGAGGCAGGGATTAAGAAGGATGAGGAGATTCTTAATCATTATTGTGATATTGGGTTGGATGTTAAGGAGAGGAGGGAGTGGGCTAGGGGCGCGTTGGGAGGTTGGTGTTTGTGTGAGAGGTGTGTTTGGGAGGCGGGGGAGAAGTAATTTTCCTTTTGGTTTGGGGTTTGGTACACAATAAGGATGGGTGTTGATAGAGGAGTTGGGTTTGGGGTTGGATGAAAATAGAGGTTCATATAGTGGTGGTGATAGATAGAGATGGATACATAGATACAGATACCCAGGTTGATATATAGGACAGGGGAGAAGAATTGAAGTGGATGTTATCATTATGTCTTACCAAAAGAATCAAACTATATGCGAGGTTAACCTGGAAGCAACGATAAGCCCATGTCTCCCTCCTCATACTACCTGATAAATACTACCAAGTAGTAACAGCCTGTATATGTACCAACCAGCAATCCGTGTACTACTTACCAACAAATCATATAGTATAATAGTTGGAAATCCAAGTCTCTACTTGTTCAGTGTACGATATAGTTTATGTCCGAATACCATGCATCAATGCAATAAGTACTTATTTATCAATACATCCATAATGTAATATAAGATAAAGAAACCCTTCCTTGAAATTTCAAATCTTGATTTCAACCCGGTATAGAACAAACCAATGCCAAGCCTTAAACATTTACCCTGCGAATAAAGTTCATCTAATTCCACCTTTCTCGCTTCCTATCACCTATTACATACAACTTTTTCTCGCCCTAATCACGCACCCGACGGGGAGGTGTCCTAGACGGAGACCTACGCCGTCTGGGCGGCGGAGACCTCGACGGGGACAACGATTCAGAGTATTTCCGACGACGAGGGGCAGTATCGCCACGGCTACCACCGCCACCACCGCGCGGCGGGGTAGGGGAGCGTGAGCGCGAGACAGAAGCGTCACGAGGGGCACGACGACTAGGCGGGGCACGACGTTCAGGAGTACGAGAACGGGATCGAGACCCGGAGACACTCCTTTCGACCCGCCGGCGGGGAGGAGGCGACCGAGACTCGGAGTACCGAGCGGCTCCTCCGGCCGCGCGACGTGGAGGAGGGGAGACAGATCGAGAGACGGATCTGGAGTAGCTTCTGTCTCTGCGGGCGTGGGTGTCCCGTTTGCTGCGAGGCGGAGGGGTAACGGAGCGGGAGAGCGAGCGTCTGGGAGAGCGGGAATCGTAGGAGCGATCGCGTGTCCGACGAGGAGGGGGTGTGGGAGACCGACTGTATGAGACGGAGCGTCGGCGGGATTTGGGCGCCGGGGATCGGGATCTGGAGCGCGAAGGAGTGTAGCTGTAGCTGCGGCGAGAGGATCCGGAGACGGACCGGCTGTAGGATCGGCCGCGACTGACGGAGCGTCTGCGGCCACGGCCGGGGGAGGGAGAGCGGGAGTAGGAGTAGGAGCGGGAGCGGGAGCGGGAGCGAGAGCGAGGAGTGCAGGTTGAGCAGCTGGTCGGGTGGGATACCACGGACGCGGAGTCGGAGTCGGCGCCGGCATCGCGTTGGGGCAATGCGGGCATGGTGGGCTTGGGGAGGTTCTTCAGATGCTCGCGCATGTCCTCGGTTAGCATACCCATGCCGATGCTGGTGAAGTAGTTGATCGAGAAGCGCGTGTTGCGGGGGTTGTCCAGTGGGAAGAGGCCCTCGAAGCTGGGGCGCAGGATCTCGTCCCGCATGCGTTCCTGCAGCTTCGGCAGGCCCATGTGCTCTCCGAGGTCTTGGAAGAGGATCTTGATGAAGATACGGCTGCTGGATGTCGTCTCCTCCTCGTTCATGTGGATGATCGACATGACATGCCAGCCAATCGCGTCGGTGCTGATCATGTGGCCGAAGAAGCGAGCAATGTTGCGGAGTCGGTTTGTCTCGTAGCGGTGGATTGTGTCATAGTACTTGGCGAATGCAGCTTCGAAGAGGTCAGACCAAAGGCGGTTGATCTTTGCGAATCGTTCACCGATCAAGCCGTAGAACTTCGAATACGTGCGCTCCTGGGAGCAACATTCGATGATCATCGATGGGAGCTCGGGCTCGAGGCCAGCGGGCAACGAGATCTTCATCAACTTGTGACAGCATTCTTCGAAGTCGATACTCGACATTATCGTCAGGTATATCGTCCTCCGCAGGTTCACAAGGTCTGTGTTGGTCTGATCCTTGATATCCATCTTCCGCTCTTCCTCCGACTCTTCATCGGAGCTCTCATCTGACTCGTCTTCATCGTCCTCCTCGTCATCACTGCCCTCACCCAGAATCTCTGCCTTCAGCTTTTTGTAGGCCTCCTCGTGCTCCTCCCATTCGGCATCGTACTTGAAGATGTTGAGGGAATCTTGCGTCTCAATTTCGTCATCAAGTCCGATCTGGTGTGTGATTTGGTCCTCTTCCTCGATCAGGTCCAACTCTTCCTTGATCGCCGGATTGTCCTTGTACCTATCCTTCCGGACCTGGAACAACACCTCGATCATATATTGTACTCGCTTATCGATGTCGGCTTCGTGAAGGATATTCCGGAATTGGTCAAACACCGCCAGGGCAATAGGACCGCTCATCTCCTCTAGATGCTGACCAACCTCTCGAGTCAGGCCGACGGCGATTTCAACACTGTCATCTGTGGGCTTGTGAAGCAGCAACAGAAGAATCTGCGCGGCCAGCATCTCGTGCGCGACTTGCTGGTTGCACAGATGGGCAATGAACGTCGTAGAAGATATGCAGACTGCCTTGTCGTTTCTCTTGAACGCCTTTCGGAACTGGACAATGAGACGGTTGAGCAGCAGCTCGCCGACTTGGGGCAATTTAGTGTTGACAATAGCCGCCATCGCAGCGTAGATAGGTGTGAAGGGCAAACTGGCCGCCTGGGCTTTCATGATACTTCTGCAAAACAGACCGCGACCGCGCACCAAGTTCTCACCAAAGAGCTCCGGGACGATAAACTTGATGTTGGAAACGTTGACCTTGTTGATGAGACCGTTGATCGACTTCTTGAGAGCCTCCCACGCCATCCGCTGGTACTCCTTGCTGGTCTTGTCCGTAATCTGCGCCTGCAGCGCCCGTAGTCGCGCGGGAGGAATATAGGTACCACCCGATCGCATGTTTAAAAGCTTCTCATATTCTGCTTTGGCCGCAGCTTGCTTTTCCTCCTCCGTCATCGGCTTTCGAGCAGCCTCCTGCTTCTCATGTTGGCGGAGGCGCTCCGCGAGCTGTCGCTCTCTTTCAATCGCGCGTTCAGGATCGATGCGCGGCGCATCCGCACCGTCTTTAAGTGAATCACCCGGGGGCGAGCGACGACGATTCGGCGAAGGAGACCGAGAGGGAGGTGAGCGTTTGCGGGAACCCGAGGCCTGAGGAGAGTAGGAAGTGCCTGGGGGCGGAGTAGGCACTCGCACCGCCGACTGCAAGACAACAGGGTCCGTCATATTCCTTTGCAGTCCACCGGAAAGAAATGACTGTCAGTCGTGACGTCCGCAGAGAACACGACGTTGAACTGAAGCTCCATCGGGATGAGGCGTGAGGCGGCGAAGAAAGGTCTTAGCGCGTCGTCGGTCACGTGAGAGCTTAGTCGCCAGGCTGGCGCCGGCCGCTCTCTACTATCGCCATGGGATGAGGAAGTGCTAAACAGACCAGCCGCCATCATCGCAGCAATTGTCACGCAAAACTCTCCTGGTAGCGCATCATCATTATGGTATACTTTTCGCATCCTGCCCTACAGCATCTGGAAATGTTTGAAACGCTGACTTGAATTGCGCCGTAGCTGGGCTCTATCGTCGGATCCGCCATGCTCCTGGTCGCTACTGCGATCTTTCTCTACTACACCACCTGGACTCTGTTGATGGTACGTCTTCGCGCTTGGATATATTTGCTTTTCTACAACACCTGCTAATATTTGTTTTCGCTAGCCCTTCGTCGACCCGGGTCACCCTCTCCACGATCTCTTCCCTCCCCGTGTCTGGGCCATCCGTATCCCCGTTTTCCTTACTCTGCTCGGTTCCGCCGTGGTTGGCACGTTCATAGGAATTGTGATGATCAACAGCAACAAGAAGAAGGCAGCTAAGGCTAAGGCCGCGGCCAAGAAGAAGACCTAAGCTCCCAAACAAAAAGAAAACCGACGTGGCGTTTGGAGGATGAGTTGGGTGGTAAACATGGCGACTCGAAACAGGTGGCCTCATCTTATTCTGCATGTAACATTACTATTTTCTGTCCTTGTTCTTTTCAAGCTTTCCCCTTGATTGGGTTGTTCTGTCATCACAGCGTTCAATTACACCATCCGCATTCCTCGCATTCTGCAAGCGTGCCGCGTGGTGAGGTAGGAAGGGGGAGGCGACGGCAAATGACGAGTGTAGGCCCAGATGCTGCCCGGTCACTGGGTGAAGCGTTCCTGGTTTCTCTTGTGCCTTACCCAGGGCAACAAGATACATGCTTAGCCGAGTCTATGCGTTACCCTTCCAAATGGGGGCCATGGCCACTATGTAATCTTTCAGTCACGGGCCAGGTCTCAACCGATGACGATTGAGGGGGACCTTACAGACTACAGACGATGGCAGTGCTCTTTCGCCATGCAGCCCCGTGACTCAACTTCCGGCGACCAGCCACATCTGGCCTCGGTTCTACCGCATTCCGGGCTTGAAACTATGTGATTGGTCTGAGACTATTGGCGGCTAGACCGTTGGGGAGAGACCCATCCAGGGAAACGGCCAGCCATGAATAGAAGGTCCGGCCCAACTAACTTGCTCCAGTTTCAGTTCCAGCTGGCCCTGGGACACACATGTTTTGTTAATTCCGGTGGTGGTGGCTGTCTGGCTGCCGTGCCCAGGGCCCTCACGTGATGGGAGTGAGCCGTGTTTTGGACATCGATAGTTTGCAGTGTTTGTTGAAAGGATACCCCTCATGCGGGCAGTTCAGCACCAATGGGGAAAGGCGCCCATGGCGTGTGTAAGAATTGTAGGTTCTCCGCCTTACGGGGTAATAGCCAATACGGTACGGTAAGTGCAGATCATCGGATGCCTCCTAATTCCAGGTCCCAACCCACCTGCCTGGACGGGCAGACGTGGGAGTCGGAAGTGGGAGAAGAGACACTGCAAAGAGGGGAAATGGATCCATCCCATCTGCAATCTAGTTACTAGAGACCATGTATCATGTAGGAACCTTACCCGACTGCGTCATGTTATGACGGTCACGCCTGGCCGCATCCCCCACTAGTAGCCAATGATCACTGGAGCCCCGTCATGTGGTGGCCCTGGAACCTTATGGGAAGGAACGACGGGGGGGTGGGAAACTACTAGGGGAAACTACCATGGACATTTGGGGGGGAAAAGTGACTGATAGGAGATAAGTCCGGCGTCGTAGTCAGCCTACCCATGGAGATGTCATCCATGCTCCTGACCTGATCCGGTTCCCCTCCCCCTCCCTCTTTCTTCTTCCCTCTTCTTCCCTTTGCTTGTTCTGTCGCCATAACAACTTCTACTTCACTTCAACCACTTCCCGGTTGCCTGTTATTTCAAATCTAGACGCGTCTGTTGATCCGTCACTGTATCTATCTGTCCCGACTACTATAAGTGGTCTACAATCCAGACAGGCGGTATAAGCAGTGCTTCCGACCTGTCGTGTTTACACTCCCACCCTCCGGCGTGTCCACGGATCTCCGCTCCAGATACGCTGTTCTCTCCGTTCATCCGGCACGGCCGTTGTATCTAAACTTCTTGCTACACCTGTTCCTCGGCATCTGTAGCACTGGAACCTACTGTAACTCCCCCTCCTGGAGCATCAGTTACCCGCTATCCTATGACTCCTACTGATAAAGCCTTGCTCGACGATAGACCATAACTCCACGGGATTCCTCCGGCAGTGAATCCATACTTCCCTTGCGAGTGTCGTTGCCGGTCGACCACACCGTCAGAACCTCCGTTCTCAGCCCGCACCAAGGGTTCTGAGAGCGGCTGTCCCAACTGAGCTCATATTGCCTCTGAGAGGCAATCCCTTTGAATGCCACCGGCAGCTTCGGACGATTTGTTTCGCCAGCAGAGCCGGTCCTTAGGTGACACTAGCCCCTTTCCTGAAGATCCCAGCCGAGCCACCTTGGAGCATGATCTCGGTGGAAAGACCAAGAAAAAGGGGAAAACCGGAACCAAGGGGAAGAATAAAGCAGCCAAAGCAGTTCCGAAGTCTACACCTGACGACCTGTAAGTTTGAATCCCTTCCACGTGTCTAGAAGGATCTTGGCTCTATGTGGACAGTTGGCTGACTTGGGTTGACGCGTCGTATGCAGTCTAGAAGTAGAAGCACCGTCACCGTCACCGCCTCTGCAGGCTGAACCATCGTCCTGCCCCAATCCAACATTGGAGCCGCCACCTAGCAACAATATCGTGTCACCGGTGCTTGATGCCCTTGGCACTCTGGGGGATTCTCCGGAGAATGACATTGCTTACCGCACCGGTACATGGGCCAAGTCCATCCCGTATGGCAAAAGTCCCCCGAATGATGCCGTTGATGGCGAGTTCAACAGCGGATCTCCTTTCGGTTTCCTCACTAGTCAAGACAAAGGCGGATTCAGCCACCCCTCTTCGACGTCTCCCCCTCCGGGAGCGAGGCCGTTGAGCTATGGGCGGGGTTACGCTACCAGCAGTGTGTCTAGACAGCACTCAGTGGACCGACAAAAGAGCAACTCCGTCAGTAGTCCATTCAATAACCAGGTACCTCTGCCGCATCTGCCGCAGGCCCATTTCTATGGAGCGCCGGATATCGATTTGCCTCTGTTCTCTGGCCAGAATAGGGCCGCAACGGACGGCAGTTATTCATTCTGTGCGTTCGATACGATCATCAGCCCTTCATCCAAAGCCTCCAGAATGGGGAGTAGCGTTCTCCTGGTCGGCACGGATGGCGGCTTGGATGTTCTTGCCATTGAAGATCGAAAAACACGTCCTGTAGGGAAGTTGGCAGGTCTCAATGGCCGCGTAATCGAAGCAAAGTTGCTGAGCAACACTTCAACTAATGACCAACCTCATGTCGCTGTCATCATTCACGGCCCCACTACTCAACCAGATGATGAGGGTCATGCATCTTCAAATAGCTCGGAAGCAAACGACATTCCCACTGGGAGACAGTCGGCTGCCGGAGGGCGTCCGAAAGAAGAGACCAGATACTATCAGACACGGGTCGAGGTGTATTCTTTGAGGACAGGAGAACACATCAGCACGCTTCTGTCCACGCCGCCCACTCCATGCTTTGGCAATATACCTGGTCTTCCAGCCTTGGCTCCTTCACCGGCCGGGAATCTGAAGCTCTTGGTGAGCGGAAGCTACGTTGTCGTAGCGTCAGGTTCCAGTGGGGAAGTCTACATGTACAGCATGAGCAAATATCAGTTCTTAGGAAAAGCATGGACCAGTATCAAGTCGAAAGAATCTCGGCGATACTCCACGTCTTCTAGCTCCACCGACCCAGATGGATCTCAGTCTGATTCTCCTCATGGATCTCTCAGCTCTGACAGCCCTATCGTGGCATTGAAGGGGAGGTGGCTAGCTATTGTCCCACCATCCGCAACTTACAGGGCTACTCTCCGTGCGGTCGTACCGACGTCCTTGTTGCAAGGAAAGGCCTTCGGGCTTGAGACTCGAAGTCCTCCGTCGCGTCCAGCTATAACCTGCGCTACTGACGTCGGAGAAGGCGAAAGCTTTTTCGGCAAAGTAGCCCGGGGTGTTACGCAGGAGCTCATGCGAGGTGCACGCTGGATGGGTGATCAGGGACTACAAGCATGGAATAATTACTGGAATAAGGAGCAGGCTCAAAGCATGCCAGCCCGCCGGTCTCCTAATTTGACGGAGTTCCCACCTCAGGGGTACAATCTTTTTCCTCCCACTCATGCCCAGGACACCCAGTCTGTGTCCACTGCCGAACCTGATTTGGTATCAATCTTCGATCTGCGAAAGCTAGACGAGGGCGAAGCCAAGAGCTCTTTGTTCAATCCAGTGGCCACTTTCCAGGTACCGAATGGCTGCAGCTTCCTTTCATTTTCGCCCAATGGCCTCATGCTATTTACTGCGAGTAAAAAAGGGGACGTCCAGTATGTTTGGGATGTTATGCAGGCCAAATACTGTCGAGCCGGGGCTTTCCTCTCGGACGACCCAGCGTCTGTGCAGCCGAGCGTGCGGCAAGTTGCCCGGTACCCGCGATTGACCACATCCCATATAGTTGACGTGGTTTGGTGTCCGCCTTCTGGAGACAAGCTCGCAGTGATTACGGGTAAACCGACGGTGCATGTCTTTGATCTGCCTCGGAGCGCCTTCCAATGGCCTCCTTTTCGACGGTCGCTACCAAAGCCTGCGAAACCGCCTACTGCTGATGCTCCGGCAGAAGAGCTTCCCGACCGGGGGCCGGCTGCAAATCCATTGTCGGCGGCCTTCAAGATGGTCGGCGGTAAGACACAGCCCATTCTTGCTGCAGTCAGGGGGCGTACTCCCTCCACCGGAGCTGCTTTCCCCTCCGTGGGTGGTTTTGCAATGCCTTCTGCAGCTGGAGTGAGAGGAGGCAAGGCGGTTGCTGCTGGTCTTAGTAAATCAATGGGAGCCGCCGCCACCGGCACTGTCAAAACGGTCAACACCATCCGACATGGTGGTGAACACCGCCTGCACCTTTCCAATCTGTCTCGGGACCCCGTTGCGGCTCGTGTGACGTGGATCATCCATAAAGGAATGCCATTCTTGGGCCTGATAGATGGGGGTTACTTCCGTCTGTACAGAATTAAACGTTCCACCTCGCCCAGTAAAAGCAGGCAGGTGCAGTCGGTGATCGGAAACAAAGAACTTGAGTTCCGCTTGCCTCCCCATATGCAGACACCTTGCGGTCCCATGACCGTGGGTCCCGCCGCCACCACAGAAACAACGGTCTCTGCAACGTTGGCTCTGCCATCCGCGGCTCTACGACCGCCACCAGCGTCGAAGCTCAAATGCCAGCCTCTTTCGCAGGCGGAGATCGAGACAAACACACCATATCAACCCTTCCACACTGACCAGAGGGTAAACCTATTCGTGTACAGTGAGGCAGACGACTCCGTGGGTTCAGTTCCGACGGGTCAATGGACCTTCGGCGGCTCTCTAGCCACAACGAAGCTTCACGTGCGACCATTCAGCGCCTCCAGTGAAGAAGACGATGATATGGTACATGAACAACACCATGGTTTTGGAGCTGAAATGGAGAATCTAATCAGCCTGGGAAATAGTACGGGCAATGTGGAAGAGGTGGTCATTACCACACGCAGAAAGAAGAAGCAGGCTTCAGCCATGGCTCTCGGTGGCGGGGTCGATGACGGTTTCTTTGAAGATGACTGCGAGGTTTTGGACTTCGCTCGGGACCGAGTCTAATTGCGATAACCACAATTACCATGCCGCTGGCGGGGCTCTATAAGATTTAAACTAATATGTCACATTCTAGACTTACATTGGTATGGCGTTGGTGCGATTGGGATTTAGGCTCGCTCATTTCCGCTCTTGCTTTGGTTGTGACTCCACACGAACCTCTTTCTGGCATGCATTACTGCTTCGCATGATTTATGGCTTGACGCAATATGTCCGAGTGTCTCATGCCAAATGATTTTCAACATGCATCTAGGCGCCTCCTAGTCAAAGCAGAGACAGAGGCGAAGATATCGTCATTTCGTTCTGCACGTCAGAGGTCAATGACATTGGGAATTTTCTCTTCCTCACATCGGCACTATTTGACTGCACTCGCTATCTGTTGTCCTGATGCCAACTTTGTGTTCGCTGCGTACATGTCGGATATGCGCTCACTCGTTCTCTTTCTGCCCGCACCGCTGTATTTCGATGCATATTTCCGTGGCCATTCGATGTTACAATTGATGTTACATACCCAGTGCTGTTCTGTGAGCCAGATAGATGAAACCATGTGGGCGTTAATCGTAAAGTACATATATATATAGGTGAAATAGACATGTGCTTGAGTGATAGATATGATGAACGCAGTTTACATGAACTAGAAGGAGTTATCGGAATATTTGCTACTAACTGGTAACTTAAGAAACCTTCTATTGGGTTCATAGCCATCCTGTCAAATTCAATTCCTATCCCTTCAATAGCTACCATGAAGGATATAATACAACATATCAATCCTTGATCATCAACAACAAAACAAAATAATAGATCTGCAGTGCACGATGATCATCAACAGTCACTACCGAACCCGAGCCCGAGACCCACCGAGGGGTGAGGAATATCAGTGGATATGCGGGGTTTGAGTACTTGACACACCAGATATCAAGTACTATCACGATAATTAATACCGTGTATATTTACTACGTACAGGAAGTGATTCGTGTATGTCAGTATTCTATTGAATTGTGTACTAGGCTCAGCATTTACAGAGCTGCTATATTGGGGTTTATTGGGGACTGGGGTCAATTCTCGGCTTGAGGGAAGGTCATAAGTACTAGTAGTAAGATTAGCCTGGTATGAATGATGGAAGGGGATAGTGACAAATCAATCTGAAATTAGTTAGTAGGTATAGTGAGTTATAAAGCATTAAGCAAAAGCAATGCAAATAGCAATCAAGTTAATTATTAATCCACGAGTGATATAAGATAAACAGGCAGTGGTAGTAGTGACAAGTTCCCATATTAGCTAATTTCCTTAGTTTCCCGTAATCAATCAATCATATTAACACAAAGCGCTGGATTAAGTGTGCAAGTAGACAGATAGCTTCCCCCCTTCCCTTTTCCCCTTCATACTGTAATCATCGATCAAGGTATAGCGTTCAGCTCATTTACAGAGCCCAAGCAGCCAAGACGAAGCCAAGAACACCGGCTGCGGAAACGCCCAGCTTGAGCTGCGTGATAGCAGCGGCGTTCTCGGTGCTGCTGGCATGAGCACCAGTCGCGGTGCTAGTTCCGGAGGAGCCAGACTTGGAGTCGGAGCCTGTGTTGTTGAATATAATGGTTAGTCAGGAAGTAGAGATGTATGGGGAGGTCAAAAATGGACGTACCAGAGCCGGTCGACGAAGAGGAGCTTCCGCTCTTGGTGGTGCTGGCGTCGTTGGAGCCGGCAGTGGTAGCGGAAGAGCCCGACGCCCCCGTGGCACTGGCGGGGAAGAAGTAGCTGCTGTAGCAGCTGCTCTGGCAACTGGCGTAGGCTTTCTGGTCGCTGGGGGAGCCGGAACCCTGGGGACAGGCGGCAACGCAGCTGGTGGTGTCGTTGGCTTGGGCGTTGTCGGGGCAGGGCACGCTGTAGCAGTTGGCGATGCAGCAGATCTCGGTTTCAGCGCCTGAAGATTGTTAGTTGGTTTGCTCTTGGGAGATTTCTTTGTTGTGGTAGGTAGATGGAGTGTAGAAGATGCAGGTGGTTGGTTTTTGCGGAAGGGATTGAGGAAAATATCCAGGATGCAGAAGTGGTGTGGGTATAACAGCATTGGAGAGAAGAAAGGAACTTACACTTGGCAGCGCAGGAAGCCTGAGGAGACAAGCTAGCAGTGGTCGTCGCGGCACTGGTAGTGGAGGAAGAGTCCTGGGCGACGGCCAGAGCCAGGAGGGAGGAGAGAGCGATAGCGCTGTTGAACTTCATCTTGACGAATGGATCGAGGAAACGACAGACGTTTGAGATTGACTGAAGTGTAGAAGTAAGTAGCGAAACGAGCGCGACAGAGTAGCACGAAACGAAGGACTGTAAGGGAGGAAAGGAAGAAGAGAAGAGGAAGAAAGAAACCTAAAGGAAGAGGGGGAAAGGGCAGACGAGGTTATGAAAGGGAAAAAAGACGGGCTGTAAATAACGGGGCCAAGGATGGCGAGGCGAAAACAATGGACCGGGGGAAAGTTGCCCAAGCGTATCAGGCGATATGCTGGGATTCACCGCGCCTGGCACCAAATTAGGGTCATCCAGCTGTCGGTTCGCCAGTTGCGATTAGCGGGGTTTCAGCAAGCCGTCAGAGTCGCACAGGCTAGTGCGCTGGATTCCTCAAGAAGCGTCTGGATAAGTGGATTCACTGGGCCGGAGCTAGTAGTCCACACCCTTACATTTGGTGGCAACTCAATAACATCGGGAAGAGACATTTACAAGGTGGATGTGGACTTGTGGAGGCGCCATTCGTGGAGTTGGCATCATTTTTAGTTTGAAGCAGGTGCCTACGAGAGAATGGTGGAGAGAGAGAGAACAGCGCGAAGCACAGTCCAGGTTTTGGACCCAGTCCTTCAATTTGGTGGTCGAGGACGAGCCAAAGTGGTGAAGAGTGAGCAGCCAGTCAACAATCACAGACCCTGAAAATCTGGGGACTGCAAAGGATCGGCTAAAAATAACCCTAGACATAAGAGGGAATCCAAGGGTCATTTCAAGGCACTAATAGCGCTACTCCAACGCTAACCCGGTTGCTGCTAAGCTAGTAAGAGCTAGACTGTCTCCCACTAATTCCATATTAGTCCGTCACTGTCCACCATTCGGTCTTATCAGTGGATGGGGTTGAGACAGCGCATCCGAAGAGGTGGAGAGCACTCGGTCATTGGTGGGCTGATCTGTCAGAAAGTGTCATGCGAACACACTGGAATGCACTAGATAGATATCAGGGTAAAGAGGGTGGTTGGAGACTTTTGGCAAGTCTTGTAGGCACCACGGTCATGAAATAGGGGCCGGACTATCAAGGGATTATTCTGTCAGATTCATCGACCCTGGCATTGCTTTTTCAGGCCTAGTGTGCCTCGGGCAGATCCGACATGCCTGTCCTGGCGAATCATTCTTTATCCGCTCAATAAGAACTACTCAGTACAGCAACAAAAGTTGGGGATGGAAAGAATCCGGAAGACTTTCATCCTGTCCATCTCGTGGCCATCCTTAACATTCTTGGAGGGTTTCGAGGCTCAATTATTGACAGTCTGGAAACCTTGTCCGAGTTGGAGATTCTCATCAATGCCATCCCTATTCAATGATCGACTAATGGGCCTTATTCTAACAGCTGTTATACTGGCACTACTTTCCTTTAGCATGTGCTGCCCCTTTTATAAAAAAGCAAATACTCAGTAACACCTAGACTATAGATATCCTTTGAAAAGCCTGAACTTTGAGACCAGCTTCAAGGGTGGAGTTATCTACCATTATATTGATTCACGATACTCCAGATATTACTAAAAATTCTGTGTTAGATGACGACAATAAGAGTCACCAGTAACTATCGATCACGCCCACAGTTAGTGATGAGGCCTGACACTAAATATGAATAGGAGCCATCGGGAGGCATTGCACCAACAGTGTGCTACTACTGGACTTGGCTTTAATAGAGTTTAATTGGTGTTTGAGCTCGCAGTAAAAAGTCAATAGCCCTTACAAATCTTGTCGGCGCTGTTTTACCATCAAAGCAACTCAAATAGTCCGGCACATTTCACTCTCCGCGGGAGAACACAGAGTGGAGAGGCCTAGGGTTTTAGAGATATTTGGTCGTAGTCACAATAGTTGTTGAATGGGGCATCTCTAGCCAGAATAGTTTAACTGGGGGGGAATTATAGTCTAGCTGAGAATTTACCTAGAGATCTAGAGAGCATGCCACGTGCTTGAGAGTGCCTTCTAGTAAGCATCTCGTTACCAACATCCCTGTAAGAACTTCACTCCCAGGCCTTCCGCATCTACGAAAGGCACCGAAAGCCAACTAGAGTATGTGGAGGCCAAGAAAATCCCGGCCGATTTGAAACTCGCGAGGTTTCACTTTAAGCGTTCCGCAATTGGGTAATCAGCTTGCTGTATATGCAGTGTGCCTGTCTGGCAAGGTAAGTGCAGGATGCAGACTGTAAAGACCGACTGAATACTAAGTTGCTTTTTCTATTTTCTAGTAGCTGGCTCTATGGGATGCATGTCTACCCCTATTTACTCCTTTGATTTCATGAAGCTTTAATTGTCAGCGGTTCTTTGTCACATTGCCCGCAAGAATATGGAACCGATTAGAGTTCCTTTCAGCAAGTAAGATGGAGTCTAGGCATTATCTTCTCGTTAAATTAGTGCTATACTCTTCTTTGAAACTTTCAGCTCGACCATCGATTTATGCTATGTCACCACAGCACGATATGAAGGGTCATTGAGTGAAGTTGTCCATCGGTATGGCTTGTTATGATGTCACAGTCATCTCATGTCAATGTATATTTTCTTTCTGAGCCAATGTGTGAACTGATTCTATCCAAATCTAGATCAGGACTAGTGTAGTTTCCGTATCAAAGCGGACTAGACCGCTTACTCACTACTTATGTAAGCTTCTTTATCGATAAGACATGTGATCGCTCTCAACGCGTCGCGTCCAGGCATCTTCGACGGTGGTCGGGGTTTTATCCTACGATGCACCTCGGGTTCGCTATGTTCAGCCTCGATGGTAGCTCCTCTGACTATTTTGACGATGATCTGGGCGACTTTGGCGTCGACCGGCCTTCAAATGCGGCAGACTCGACTGATCCTGACACTCCCCGACCAGCCAAGCGCCGTCGTCTGAAAGCTAGTAAAGATACCCCAAACGCGGAATTGCAATCGCATCAAAAGTCTCGTGCAGAGCGTCGCGATGGGGCTAGGACAGTGCTAAGCTCAGACTCGTTTATCGACTATGATGACGACGAAGTGCCCTCTCCCGAACGAGAGTCACCCTACTTCCAAGACGATAGTGAACGAGAGGCACGATCCAAATACAAAGTCTTCGCCCCCAAGAACGCAAATATCCAGGAGAATATTTTTGTGACGCAGCTAACGCAACCTCCCTCTCCGCCGGAAATGCTTCGTGGTCCCCGTTGGAAGAAGCCTGATCCTGGCTTGCCTTCCCGAACTGCTGCCACTCCGCTGCCAATAACAACTCAAACCAGAGATTCCGCTGCTGATTTTGATGGAAATGATGAGTATGACGATGACGAAGAGATGAAAGCAGCGATGGAGGCATCGTTGCAATCGTTCGAGGAGGAAACATCAAGGCCAGCTCCCTCTGTGCCCTCGCAAAAGCCCCCGCACCCATCAGCTCCTCCCATTGTTGGACAGCAAAACACTACCGTCGCGGCCTCCAATGATCTTTTGGACGATATACCTGATGATGCCTTTGACTCAGACCTGTCAATGTCACCACCTCCTGCGCCTCAGCCTCGCCCGGCGGCTCAGTCATTCACACAGTCAACGAATCGCCCATTAGGTGTTCGCCAAACCACGCTATTTGGTATGGTTGCCAGACACCCAGAAAATCAGCCACCGCGCGGTGAACAAGTGTACTCTCCGCCTGAGAAGAGCGAGCCACCTACTCAGCATAAACTCAACCAGGAAGCCTTGGGTACGTGGGTTTATCCTACGAACCTGGGTAAAACTCGAGATTATCAGTTCAATATTGCGCAGAAAGGCCTTTTCCATAATCTGCTTGTAGCTCTACCTACGGGTCTCGGAAAAACGTTCATTGCAGCTACCATCATGCTCAACTGGTTTCGGTGGACCAAAGATGCTCAGATTGTCTTTGTTGCGCCCACAAAACCGCTAGTTGCTCAGCAGATTTCTGCATGCTTCGAAGTCGCTGGCATCCCTAGATCCCAGACCACTATGCTCACGGGAGAGGCTGCTCCAGGAATTCGAGCCGAGGAATGGAAGGCGAAACGCGTATTTTTCATGACACCTCAAACCTTGATCAACGACCTTAAAACTGGGATTGCAGACCCGAAGCGTATCGTTTTGGTCGTTGTTGATGAAGCCCATCGTGCTACCGGTGGCTATGCATATGTCGAAGTTGTCAAGTTCCTGCGGCGGTACAATCAGAGCTTTCGTGTCCTGGCTTTAACAGCTACACCAGGCTCAACAGTGGAATCTGTCCAGGCTGTCATTGACGGACTGGACATATCGAGAGTCGAGATACGGACAGAGCAGTCACTCGATATTAGAGAGTATGTCCACTCCAAAGACACAGATGTGCAGACATTCCAGAATTCAGAGGAAATGGTCCTTTGCATGGACCTGATGTCGAAAGCCCTACAGCCACTTCTCGATCAACTACGGAGTACAAATGCCTATTGGGGGCGTGACCCCATGGGTCTCACAGCATACGGACTCACCAAAGCCAGACAACAATGGATGCTATCCGATTCCGGCAGAAACGCCCATTTCGGCGTCAAGGCCAAAATGAATGCAATCTTCACGGTTCTAGCCAGTTTGGCTCATGGTATTGATCTTCTCAAATACCATGGGATAACACCTTTCTATCGTCATCTCTTGCACTTTCAATCCAACACCGAGGGACAAAAGGGTGGCAAGTACCAGCGGCAAGTCGTTCAGGACGAGAGCTACAAGAAGCTTATGAATCATCTGCAGCCGTGGACGAAGAATCCAGAGTTTATTGGACACCCCAAATTGGAGTACCTGAAGCAGGTGGTGTTGAATCATTTCATGGACGCTGGTGAAGGCTCTGGTGCAGACGAAAACAAGGATCAACCAGCCACTCGCGTGATGATATTCGTACACTTCCGTGATAGCGCAGAAGAAGTCACGAGAGTACTCAAAAGATACGAGCCCATGATTCGGCCCCATGTCTTCGTCGGGCAGAGTAGCGCCAAGGGCTCTGAAGGAATGGGACAGAAAACGCAACTCGACATTGTGCAGAAGTTCAAGAAAGGAACCTACAACACAATTGTTGCGACTTCCATCGGTGAGGAAGGTTTGGATATCGGTGAAGTGGACCTTATCGTGTGTTACGACTCTTCAGCTTCACCTATTCGTATGCTCCAGCGCATGGGACGTACCGGTCGAAAGAGGGCAGGAAAGATTACGCTCTTACTCATGCAAGGCAAGGAAGAGGAGTCTTACATAAAGGCTAAGGACAATTACGAAAAGATGCAGCAAATGATAGCGAGTGGCACCCGGTTCACTTTTCACGATGATATGTCTCCGCGGATCCTGCCTCCGGGTGTGCGGCCTGTTGCTGATAAACGAGCGATTGAAATCCCCGAGGAGAATACTGTGCGAGATCTTCCAGAGCCGAAACGGCGAGGCCGGGCACCGAAGAGGCCGCCAAAGAAGTTCCATATGCCTGATAATGTCGAGACTGGATTTACTACGGCATCGAACTTGACCGGGACCTCCAAGCGCAAAGCACCAACTAAAAGTAAGGCTCGCACGTCGACTCCAGAGCCCGTAGAATTGCCGGCGCTTGAAGATGTTCTGCTTACCCCCGCGCAGCAAAAAGAACTTGAACTCCTCTACAGCAACGCTGGGCCCAGTGAAGAGCTTCTGGTCAGTTATCCCAGAAGCGACGCCTTCCCACGCCTTCAGCTTGCGCCTAGACCTACGAAAGCTGTTAGACACGGGTCATTGACTCGTCGCATGATTCAAACGTTGCAAAAGATGGACCAGATTACTCCAAACTGTGGGGATCGTTACAAGGAAATCATAGCACGTGAGGCGGCCTCCAGGCCGGAGGCCTCGATAGTAGCGCCGAAGTCCAATGGTCATGGGGAGGTTCATTCCCGGACCAAACCTAGACGCACGTCCAAGGTGGTATCATCCAAGCCAAAGAATCATGAAGAGCTAGATGTGTCTGAAGTACAACGAACCCCACCGGCCAAGCACTCGGTATCAGCGACTAACGCTGAAGTGGAACCATTCTATTGCTCGCAAAGGACTCAAGACGGAGATACAGGTGATGATTTTGATCTTCCAGATGTCTCTACTCTTTTGGATAGGAGTGTGGAAAGGCCCCCGAAACGGGGCCGGTTTGTTCTGGATGACAGCGATGACTGATTTGGACATGAACGCATAGCTTGGTTACATTCTGCATTGGTGATACTTTCGGTTGCATATACCCTTGAGCAATATACTTAGATGAGTACGTTGGAGTTATTTCTTGATGTCATACAAATACCCGCACGTAGACACATTCTCGAACACCATAAGAAGCTATTCTAGAGTGGAAGGACTTCAAGTAACCGAGACCCAACGCAGGAATTCGGTTCGATCCTCATCTCTAAAACTATATATCATCATGCGTAAGACCTCATATGAAAAAGCGCCCTGTAACTCAATTCTAACATCATCTAGTCTAGACGGAAAGAAACCATTCCACACACGTATTCATACACAAAGCAGAAGCCTATAGATTTCCACCCCATACTGCACATAAAACAAACCCCTAAACCAACCCATCTCAGTCCCAGTACCACCAAACAACCATCTCCATCACCAGCCAATCAAGCGAAGCATGAACCTGGCGCCTCACTTACCCACATAATCAAACTTCTTCGTCGAATGGTTATAAACATACGCATACTCAGCCACATCAAACCCCCAGTCCCCAATAACCTTGGTACTCGCACTACACACATTCCCAGTCTTCTTATCGGTGAAAGCCTGGCAATATGGCCTGTCCAGCGTCAGCATCATTTACTCTCAAGAAGCCACAAAAGAGAAAGATATCAGAGAAAGAGGGATTGATACATACCCAACCTTCGCACTCTTCCCACTCTTCACCTTAAACCCCGTAATCTCAAACCAACTCCCATCCGACATGTTATTCTTAGCATCATACGACTTGACCTTATTCTTCTGGTAGAAGCTCCGTAGAGAACGCTTTTGTTCGTCCTGCGAGTTGATGGTCACGCCTACGAGGATGGCGCTGCATCACAGTAATCATTGAATATATCGTTAGCTTTCTTTCCCCACATAGACCCTCCATAGAGAGATAGATAGTAGATAGAAATAGAGTATAACGTACTCCTTTCCCCCCTCCTTCGTCGACGCAAACGGAAACTCCTCCGCCGATACCCACCCCTTATGATCTCCCCAGGCATTGGTGGCCGGAGACGCTTTCATCCCGTACTTGGCGGGATTTTAGAAGGGTTGCTTGTTGGCTGCGCTGCCGGCTTCGACTTGGCGGTTTACGTCCGCGGCGTCGGTGTCGACTTTTTGCCTGTGTTTGACATTAGCTGGTTGTTGTTGGTTTGGTTGTTTGTATGGGGAAGGGGGCTGGGTGAGGGAGAGGCATACATCACTGCGGACTTGCCCTTGCAGAGCATCGCCCAGCAATCTACGTCGTAGGTGAGGGCATCTTCGCCGCGGATCTCGATCTCGGCTCTGATAGGGTTGGATTTGGAGTCGCCGGGGTTGGAGCGCGGGTGGAGCTGAAGGGAGAGGTCGTCGGTTGTTGGGTGGGCGAGGGTGTTTGGGAGGGAGAGGAGGATGGTGAAGATGGGGAGGAGGGTTGATGAGAGAATCATTTTGAATTGGGTGTTTGGTGGTTCAGCGGGATAGGGATTTGAGGGCTTGGTGATGCTGTGTTGGAGTGCATTGTTTCTCGTCCACTTGGTATCTTTATATCATGTTGTGGATGCTGCTCAGGGGATGGTATTGAGGCTATACTACTGTGGTTTTGTCTATCTTGGGAGGCCTTATTTGGGTCTATAGTGAGATGCTTCATGGTTGATTGGGGTGTGGTCGTTGCTTGGATTGTTTGAGGGTGGAACATGTTATCTTAGAACGAGATTTTATTGATGCGTATGGGGGATGGAGACAGGAATCTGTGGTGGTCTGGGGGGGCGGAGACCCTGCTGGAGGCCTTATCATGGTCTGGTGATTGACAGGGGAATTGTTGATGTTGGGGGGAATTGTTGATGTTGGAAAAGCGCATATGCAGTCAGCTTATCAAAAATTGTGCTCTTTGATGGGATGAGGGTGGAATTGAGCTGTAGCATGATATATATGCTCGATTCGAAGTACAATGTATGGACATGATAGCTTCAGTGCGTACTTGCAGAAGCAAGATTGATTTGCCTGATGGGTTGGTTCAAACGAGACAAGGGCATAATGCCTTAGGCGGCCCTTGATATCTGATTGTTCTGTCAGTATAGATGGTTAGATAATACTAAACTGTCCCAAGTCAATATCCTCAGATTGATGCCCGTTTGTAAGAGGCTGCTTACTTTGTTGGTATAATAGATGCCAATCATAGTTCTGAATGAATTATTTCTCAAAGTACTGCCAGTACTGGCCCCTACATAAGAGGCCCTGGCTAAAGGCTAATAGCTCAGCCCTTGTGGCGAAAATGAGGGGATTAGTAGAAACCGGCATATGCCCTACATTGGAAGATGGCGATGACTCGCTCCGCCACAGGCACTAAGAAGCTTCTACTAATCACTGAAGCGGGGTGAGCAGCCTCAAACACAACTATTTCACTGAACGTCAGTCTGACAGTCTGTGAGCCTCAGTCTATCCCCATCTCTATTTCAGGTAGTTAAACGGTCAAAATGAGGGATTTTTTGAGCTGCTTTTTGAGTTCTGCAGTCAGCTGAGTATATAAGCAGGCACTCACGCACAGCACATGACTCTCGCGCCTATAGATGAGACAGCGGATGGGCAAAAGAAAAATGATATAGAACAATCAAATACTCTTCAATCGTGGTCCATTTTCAATAGGTACCAAAAGAATATTAGCCAGAAGGGATCTATTTCCTTGAGCCTTGGCGGGAGGGACGATCTCATAGATCTGACAAAGTACGAGGTTGGTTAGGCAGGTGGGCGGACCCACGCCAGTATGTACGAGCCTAATACTGACTATAAGAGCCTCCTCTCATTTCCAGACCCTCAGCCTTGCTTCAACCAACTCGCATTCGCATTCAATACCAATTTCAGTTTACCACTGCCACCTAGCAATTATGACGAGCATTTTCCTATTCTGCACCTCCGACGTGCCAGCAAGCGTATGAAAGCCCTGTCTTGTGAGACTACAAAGCATAACTGACTTCTACTGTCACTATCAGACGATCAACCAATTCATGACAGAGTTCGCTGAAGCCAGCGAAGATCCAAATATATTTTGTCTGGTCCGCACCCCTGACCAGGAACAATTCGATGAATGGGGCACCGAACTACCCGTGCAAGACTTCACAACAGGCTTCAAAAATGCCCCTGATTCTACTCTCCGCCTCTACACACAAAATCGAATCGATCAACTCAAGGCTGCAGGCAAGGCCGGCGGGCTATCTCCCGGGTGGCTAGCTAAGCTTGACGAGCGGTCCCCGCATGACTCGACCGTGGTTCTACAGTACCGCAAGATCAAAGCCAACTGGGCTCAGGCATTGGAAGATGCTGAAGAGCAGTTTCAAATTCCCGGCCAGGCGGACGTTGATGACCAGTATATCTGGTGGAAGTGGCGTGTATCATTTGCGGATTCTTTCCAGCTGTTCAACAGCGTCGATGAGGGTATGCCGGATATGATTCGGCTGTTCACCCGACCTGAGTTTGTGGACTCGGACGGCGTGCTTCATGTAGATGTCCCCCGTCAGATCATCAAGGGGGAGATTCCGGACCCCATTACGGAGAGTGCAAGCTGAGGGTTTGCCGGTCTACCTCTCATATCAACTTGCTGCTTTTCTTAACTCTGCTCATCCCCCATACAGCCATGTCACATAAATCGGCTATACAACTGTCAAAACATTCAAGACTCAATGGACATATTCCGTAGTCTTAGATGGCCTTATGATAGTGGATGGTGTGACGTGACCCAACTTTGTGGGTGACGTCTCAAGCCTTAAGTCAACGTAAGGCAGTGTGAATTGCCAAAAACATCATTCTTGGGAACAACCAAGCAATACCTGCGTTAGTCACTCGAATCCTCGAATTCCCCACGCCTGTAAGGAATAGTCAGATGAGCCTCCTAATGTAAGCTGATTCAAAAGGCGGTGATGATCTGCCAGCGATAGAGTCCAACTTACCTTGATAGGCAGGCGGGGAGGGCGGCCTGATGTGGCAGTAGCCCCACCACATTCCCAATGGGGAAATAACCTAGGGGGCGGCGGATCGCATTGGAGAACGGCGGAACCCGTGCCTAAACAGTAGACAGACTCAACCACAATCAGACACAATTTCAGCATATCATCATCATGGCTGACGCTCAATTTGACAGTGCGCTGTAAGTGCTGCAGTTCTAGCTTTGCTCCAAAACTATGAAGCCTGCCTAGTCTCTGGAGGCGACCGATCCACGCCATCGACCCCGCTTGCTGTCACCCGCTGACCATCATACCTGCTTCCAGGGACCTGCTCCGGCGCCTCAACCCCCGCGATACGAAGCAAAACCTCCAGGCAATCACCTCCATTGTCCCCGATCTGACCGAGGACCTCCTCTCTTCTGTTGATCAGCCCCTAGAGATCCGCAAGTGCCCCAAGACAGACCGCGACTACCTCCTCTGTGACTACAACCGCGACGGAGATAGCTACCGGTCGCCCTGGAGCAATGAATTCGACCCCCCGCTGGAAGATGGAACCGTGCCCAGTGAGAGAGTGAGAAAGCTCGAGGTTGCCGCCAACGAGGCATTCGATGTCTACCGTGAGCTGTACTACGAGGGTGGAGTAGGCAGCGTGTACTTTTGGGACTTGGACGACGGATTCGCCGGTGTTATATTGTTGAAGAAGGGTGAGCGAATGCTGTCTTGACACTCCAGACTGGAAATGCATCCTAACATCCTGCTTTTATATAGGAGTTACGCCAGGTGCTAAAAGCTCTGGAGAATGGGACAGTATCCACGTCTTCGAGGCTACTGACAGAGCGCGCATGTCCCACTACAAGCTGACTAGCACCGTCATCCTGCACTTGGCTAATGAATCCGAGTCCCTGGGTGAGATGGACCTGAGCGGTAACATGACCCGTCAGGTGGAGGTGGATCTGCCCGTCGAGTCGGATGCGAGCCACGTCGCCAATGTTGGTCGGCTTGTTGAGGACATGGAGTTGAAGATGAGGAACTTACTGCGTATGTCTTTCCTTTGCGGCTGTGAAGCGAGTGTTGTTACTTTACTGGGCTAATTGCTAATCCAACTGTTCTTACAGAGGAGGTATACTTCGGCAAGGCTAAGGATGTTGTGGGTGAACTTCGGAGTAAGTGCAGGTCTAATTAGCTAGCGGGCAATTTCATGCTAATAAGCGGAACAGGTCTCCCCTCCTTGTCCGAGTCGAACAGAGATCGGGCTACCCACCTGGAGATGATCCGGTCTATGCACAGCTAGTCGTCTGTTTGTCAGTTAAGGAAGCCATTATAGCGTCGTTTTAGAGGCTGTTATTCATTTACATTTGTTGTATGTACTTCGAGCTCAAGGTTCCTGGGGATCCCAATATTACTCGTATACGATGAACTGCAGGCGTTATGTGATTGTGCGTTGTAAGTACCATTTTTTATGATGGCCTGGCTAGCCATTCCCACGAGCAACTCTTCATTGCATAATGCAAAATCAATTGCCAATACATTCAATAAATTTGGGTATCATAGACAGGCTGTCCGCTTAGCTCCACCTGCAACCACATGACAAGATATGGTACAGAACTCCAGATAGTAGAGCAATCACCATATTCGCCAATTCAACGACCAAGCCTTATCAAAATTTCGTAAATCATCCCAACATCAATGGCGTCTAATCGACCTCCATCTTCTCCTGCTCGCCCTCTGTCTTCGCTCCCGAGCTCACAGAAGCCGGATTGCTAATCCGCTCCACGAACTCCCTCGCAGCAGCCCACAGCTCTGCCTCCTTATCCTTGCCCACCGTATCCTTCCGACTGTTAAGCCAACTAACATCGAGCGGGTTCGATGATGCGCCCGCTACTCCACCACTGCTCGCACCAGGTAGATTCTCCGCTCTCGACGCTGTGTCCGGCGCAAGAATAGACGCCTCTTCCAGAGCATACACCTGACGACGGAGTCGAACATCAATAGACGAAAGGAGGGCGAAGTATTGCGATGTGGCCTCCTTGAAGCGGGCTTGGTGGGATGCGAGAGAATTGTCCGAAGGTGACTCGCCCGACCGAGCGTTGGTCAGGGCTTGAATTGCGAGACCCGCGGAATGAATTAGCTTGGCCACATCCTGTAGTGATTGGCGGCGATTAGTGAGGGTGGAATGAAGCCAATGACACAATATGAATATTGTAGTAGCGGGGATGTTGAGTATCCATCGCTAGGGAAGTAGCATTTCGGGGGTGTCGCGCGGGGAATAATCCCGGGCCTCTATTTCTTTTCTCTTAAACTTACCTTGTCTATTTCATTCAATTGCCGGATTCGATCCGCTGATGTAAAGACTTGGTCTGGCTTGCGGGTGTCTTTGACATCTGTCATTTTGTTTGCTCTTGGTTTTATTTCTTTGTTTATGTTCCAGGCTGCCAGCAGAAGGAAGTAGTCAAGTAGGAATGACAGGTAGAATTGGCGATGGAGTAACTACTCGATCTGGACCTTCAACCAACAAGCTCCGTCACGTGCCCACACAACCCGGGGAACTCTGCTTACCTCAGCCGGGGCCCGACGCGCTAGACCCGAAGCGCGATAGTGCGATATCAGAACTTCAAAACCTCCCGTGAATACTTGCGCGCCTCGTCCTGCCGTCACCCTGCTGGCACTTGCGACTCGCCATTTATCCCGTCTCATCCGCTCGCTCTCCTCTCTCTACGTCTGAGGCTACAGATTGATTTGTATCTGATCGTTTAAGCGCGATGTCTGCGCCAGGCGGGGCCCCCAGCCCTGCTCCCCGAAGTGGAAGCATGGGGCCCGGTGGTGGCATGTCTATGCCTCCTCAGCAGCCCATGACCAACGCCGGGCCTGTCACTCCGGGTCCTCCTGCGCCTCCTCCGCCGCCTCCCGGAGGTCCGATGTCGCAGCAGAATCTGAATCAAATAGTAAGTCATTAGTTTAACTTCAACTGTCTATGTTTGTTGTTGGGGTGTACTATGTTCCATTGCGTCATGTGCCTGTGCCTGGACTGCGATGTGATAGGGTGGTGTTACCCCGGTGTATGCTTTCCGCACATGGCTTGGTTATGATTATGAACTGAGTCAGTTGTGATTGTATTCAATCTTCACTAAAGGAGTATGGGAATGCCTACATTTGCTAGTCCGGGCTTCCTCTTTGTCATCTAACATTGCCTTTCATCGTGCCGAGCGTATATTGCTACTACTGCGCATCATGCTGTCACATTGTATGTCAACGCTTGTACTAATGTTTTCTAGGTCATCGATTATCTTGCAAAGAAGGGCTATAGTCGTACGGAGGCTATGCTACGTATTGAGTCGGCACATCAAGAAATCGATGGCCGTCCTCCTATGCCCCCTCTTGGCGAAGATGCACGACCCAAGTACAGGATGGGTTTTGGTAAGTCCTTTTCGGTTTTGATGATACGAAACAGTGCTAACAGTACGTAGACTTGCTCAAGGTTTGGGTTGAAGACAACTTGGATCTTTACAAGGTAAGAAGCAGAGTCCTGCTCACATGTATCGGATCCATACTTACGTTCTCAAGCCTGAACTGAGACGTGTCCTCTGGCCGCTGTTCGTATACACTTTCATCAACATGGTATCTTCCTTCAAGCCGCAGGATGCCAAGCAGTTCTTTGATCTGAACAAGAACCTCTTCTTGCCTGAGCACACAGAAGATGTGCGCGCATTGGAGCCAATCAGCTTGCCAGAGCATGTGCAAGCCAATTCGACCGCCAAGCTATATCGTACAAACAAGTATCGTTTGGTTCTCAGCAACCCCGCCTTTTCGAACCTCATGCAATTCCTGGAAAGCAAGCAGAAAGAGGGTGGCTCAGATATGACTGCAATTCTAAGCAGTTATTGTACTATCATCACCAAAGAGCGTACCGCGGACGATAGATTCAGTTTCGCTGCGATGCTGGGCCAAACAGATGGTCAGACATTTCCCAGTGAAGATGAAGGCATTCCTGGTCACCATCCCGGCTCTGCATACACTGGAGACAACCCGAACATGGCGGGAACTCTGCCCAGGCTTAAGCTAGGAAAGCTCCCTCTGGAGCAAGCCCTCGAGACAGATGTTAGGGGCGAGCTGGCGGATGAGGATGCGAAGAACCCTCCAGGCCCAGGTCAGAACACTCTGATCCAAGAGTTTGACCAGATGATCAAGAAGGAAGAGGATGAAGAAGCTCCAACTCGTGCTGATATCCCCTATCCTCCGTCAACTGCTCGAGATGTGGCTATAGAGATTCAGAAGGTCAAGGAGAACCGCGACAGGTTCAGGATTGAGGGCAGGACTGGTGGCGTGGGTCCCGCTGTGAGCGTCTGCATGTTCACCTTCCACAACACTTATGATGGGTAGGTAACATGGTCTCATTGGTACTAGGCCTTGACTAACAATCAACAGAATCAACTGTTTGGACTTCTCGGATGATCTTATGCTCGTCGCAGCTGGTATGCAAGAGTCATACATCCGGGTCTGGAGCATGGATGGCAAGAAAATCCAATCGACCTACGACAACGTGGATGATACTCCACCTTCGAACTCCCGTCGTCTCATCGGACACTCCGGACCGGTCTATTCAGTGGCATTTGCACCATCGATTACCAAGACGGACAATGCCGTCGCCCCGACGAACGCTCGCTGGCTGCTTTCGTCGTCTGCAGATAAGACCATCCGTCTCTGGTCCTTAGACCTTTGGCAGTGCATGGTGGTCTACAAGGGCCATGACCAGCCGGTTTGGGACCTTCAGTGGGGCCCCTACGGTCATTACTTCGTTTCTGGCGGACACGACAAGACTGCCCGCCTGTGGGTTACGGATCATATCCGCCAACAGCGTATCTTTGTCGGTCACGACCAAGACGTTGACTGCATCTGCTTCCACCCCAACTCGGCGTACGTCTTCACCGGTAGCTCCGACCACACGGTCCGCATGTGGGCCGTTACCACGGGAAATGCAGTCCGCATGTTCACCGGACACACTGGCAACATCACTGCTCTGGCATGCAGCCGCGACGGAAAACTCCTCGCATCGGCAGATGACCAAGGATCCATCCTACTGTGGGACCTTGCTCCTGGCCGACTGCTGAAGCGCATGCGCGGTCACGGAAAGGGCGGAATCTGGTCCCTGAGCTGGAGCGTCGAATCAACAGTCCTAGTCTCCGGTGGTGCTGATGGCACCGTCCGCGTGTGGGATGTGACGGGCCCGGCTCAGGATCCCTCCCAGGGCCGTGTCGTCGGCGAGGGCGGCGCAGGCACCAAGGTCGACGGCAGCAACCAGCCAGCACCCAGCACTACGCAAACCTCAAGTGCGGTCGCCCCGGGTATGGGCAAGAAGAAGGGCAAGGATGTCGTGGTGACGCCCGACCAGATCAGCGCTTTTCCCACGAAGAAGAGCCCGGTCTACAAGGTGAAATTTACGAATATGAATTTGATCATTGCCGGGGGCGCCTATCTTCCTTGAGTGAGGGACGTGTATGCAATAGCGCCAGATACCCTCTATTCCTTTTCTTCTTTTCCGCATTGATCTTTATCATCTTTCTGTTCTTCGTTCAATACGATTTCCTGTCTTCTTATTCCACATTCATGGGCAGGATACTCGATAGCATGTGGCGTCTTTGGGGGCATTGACGGTGGGCATTGGTGTTGGTGGCGGCATTGTATTTAATCCAGGATGGAAAGATCCTACTACTAGTTACAATTTTTATTCCAAATACTCAATACAGCTACTTTGAAACAGCACATACCTCCTAGTCCATCACCACTTGATACAGCATGAAATAAACTCAAACCTATATTCAAGATCTAGTATAGTATACCATATTTATATCTTCTTAAACAACCCCCCAGCACCAGCACCAGCACCAGCACCAGTACCGCTCCCAGCCCCCTTCTTCATCGCCGCCGAAGCCTGCAAATCCGCCACCTTAGGCGGCAAAACCAACGCACTGCGATCATTCCTCTTATAAAAATCTACCAAAATCTGCGCCGTCTTTGCCGGTTGATCCTCCTGAATGAAATGGCCTGCTTCCGGCAGGACTTGTAGTTGGTATTTACCTGCAGATATCGATATTAGCATATCATCCACTCAACACAGTTTCAAAAGTAACCTAAGTAAATAAGAGGAAGAGGATGGGGGAATATACGCACCCTGCATCTGCCCAATCATCAACTCCTTATCAAGACGATCCGTCCCCGCTAGGAGGAGTAACTTCCCACCACGAGCATCGAGGAACTTGCGACTTAGCCCGACGAACCAGTTCTCCCAGAAGGGTTTCGTGGCGGAGAGATTAGTCCGCCAGATCCAGGGTTTGGTGGGGTCGGGGGAGTTGGGGTCTTCGTAGAGGAGGGAGGGGACGGAGACGCGGGCGGAGTTTTTGTTGCGGATTGTGCGCGAGCGGGTGCTTTACAGTTGGATTAAGTAAATGAGTGTGGAAGGGGTTGTTGCTTGATCACTTACTGCCATTCTATCCCTGAACTGATGGATGGGAAGCGCGATGGACGGGTCATGAGATAGGTTTCCATGCTTTGGAGGGCGTCCATGGCGGATCCTGTTTCTTTCTGTTAGTATTTTATTTTGTTTTACCTGTAATCTGCTTGGTGAGATGAGATGAGCGCTGGCTTACCCTCTACAACATCCAAAACTGCATATGCTAGTACTTTACTTCCCAGCTCGCCCTGTCTGGCTACATCCGTGATCACCGCACCACCTAGACTATGGCCAACAAGGACCAGATCGGGGAGACTCTCCCAGCCCATTCGGGTCTGGGTTTCGCGGACCACGAATACGAGGTCTCGGTTCAGCGTCTCGAGGCTTAGATCTAGCTCGATGCCTTCGTCCCCGTCTTCGCCTGAGGCGTGGGTGACTGCCGTGCTGCCGTGGTCGCGTGCATCTATGGACAAGATGCCGGCTTTGGGGATGATTTTGCGGATCTCCCCGGCGCATGCGGCGAATGATAGACCGGATGAGCCGGCGCCGTGGTGCATGACGAAGAGGGGACTGGAGGAGTCTGCTGGTGGTGTGAGGTAGACATGGTGAGTGATCTTGGTGTTGTTGGATGTGTCTATTTGTGTGAGATAGTGCTCCTGGGTGAAGTAGTCTGTCCAGGGAAGGGTTGTTTGTTGGACGGATCTGATAAGTGTGTGAGTTTGGTGATCGCTAGATAGTGAATTGTGGGGGGAGGGGCGGCGGTGTGAGGATATACGTACCCGCGTCCTGGCCTTGCAAACAGTTGTCTGCTGGGTGAGGGGACTATTGTCCCTGTGGACGAGGTCGAGGAAGAGTCATCGTCGTGACTGACCTCCTCGTCGAGGGGTTGCATGGACGGCCCGGTTGGCGGTTGGAGAGGCAGCTTGGCCAGTCTGGACTTGGCAAAGGATTTTTGCAGCTCGCTCATGAAGGCTGCGCAGCTTTACTGGGTAGATAGGTAGACGGGGTGGTGAATAGGATCAGCTCTAGGTTTGGAGGTGTGGATGTTGACATTGGAGAGGAGCTTGAGTCGGGAGTTGGAGCTGGAGCTGGCGAGTGGATCATGCGGTTGATGGAGGGGATGTTTAGTGGCGGGTGAGTAGATCTGGAGGGGAATGATAGGCGTATGTGCTGTTGGCACCACTATGGTCCAGATGTAGGATCTGTAGATTGGATATGGAGTTTTTTCATGTCACAGTAGAATATGTGTCTGAAGTATAAGAGGTCTTATAGAAAGATAAGCTGACGGAGGGTTGGATTTTGCTGCATACCAAGATGGCTGATACCGTACATACCGTATCGTATTGACTGATGATACTTGATGGTATTTTGCAGATCACCAATTTTTTTCAGGGATGCTTCTCCCAGTGGGTCTTCGATCTTATCAACTGGGGTCTGTATAGTGTGCAATTGATTGTCTATCCACAATTACACTTTAGATTATGGTCTAGATAATATAGATCAAGTATGCACCAGGATGGTTTCCCCACGGTGCGGCAGGTCAGCTGACCAGGCGTGTGCCTGATGGATCGACGCGCTAATTGTGTACTTCTTGCTTTTCTCTTTGTTCTTAATCTATTGATGTTTTCCCTCCGACTATACATTCAAGGAGAATTGTCTTCTCCACCATGCACCTATGCCTTGCAATTCCAATCCTGCCCATCTATTGTCTCACCTCCTCATCCTTACCATTGACTCTCCATCCTGCACCAGCTAATAGCGGTGATGATATTGTGTCCATGACGGTGACATAAGCCTGCCGTGACGTCACGGCTGAGCATTGCCGCCAGCCAGATGCCAGCCGGTGATGCTCGCAACCATCATGGATCCCCTTCTTGTGTGCTTTTGGGGCCCTCCCGGTTCCACTATCCAGCAATTGCCATGCCGTGACGTCAGCATCTGCCTCATGACTCTCTCCATCGGCATCCCGATCCATGTCGCGCCTTCGTTTCTTATCACGACCCATCTGCCCCCGCCCCTATCGTTCTTTAGCGCACCAGGGTGAAGAAAAGCACAATGGTGTCCCTTAAATTTAGACGAAGCGACGAGTCCGACAGGACCGGCCAGCAGCGCGATCGAGAGGATGAGCGACGACACGATGAGCCAGATGAGCGCACACGACTGCTCCCGCGCGAGCCTCCGGCCTATCTGAGCCCTGATGACCCTGCTGTGAGCTTCGCATAGAAACACCTCCCTTCAGTCGCAAGATGGCTAACACCTAGCTCGCCAGGTCTCTCCCTACAACCTCTGGGGCATTCGAGCCCTACGAGGCCTCTCCTCCCTCTTCCTCGCCATCAGCTTCATCTGGTGGACATTCCTTCTCGTCTCCCTCTTCGTCAGTCCACCCATGATGCACTCGCGCGGATCCGGATTCTTCAGTTTCGCCTATACGACCCTGACAACCGGGTACCTCCTGCTCGGACTCCTGTTCTTCGCTATCCCGTCCAAGCCCATGTCCGTGTCTGGTATCATCATTGCCATCTTCCTCCTCATCGACATGATCCTTACTCTAGCCGTCCCTCGCATCCGGCTTGAAGAAGGCTGGGTGGGAGTCGCATCGGTAGTCTGGGCAGCTTTCATCTCTCTCTATACAATTGTCCAGAACCACTCCGTGGCATGGGGTAAGCGGGAAGAAGAGGAGCGCCTGACAGGGCGGCCGGAAACCCGCCGTCCCCTGCGCGAATGGGTCGCTGTCCTCATTCAGACCGTCTTCCTGGTCATTTTCGCTATCATCGTCATCCTGTTTACCGCCACCCTGATCCTTCGTGCCCGCGATGCATCCCTCCCCGCCCCTGGCAAGAAATACTACGTCAACGGCGACAGCTACCAAGTCCACCTCCACTGCGTCGGTAACGCTACCCACAGTCTTCAGAATGACACCCCGACGATCCTCATCGAAGGTGGCGACTGGCCCGTCGAACACACCCTGCAGCCCTTCATCCACGATGCATACCAGTCCGGCCTCGTCCCTCGTTACTGTTACTGGGATCGTCCCGGCTTCGGCTGGTCCGACAACGCGCCCTCCCCCTTCTCCGCCGGCATGGCAGCAGATGCCCTATCTGAAGCACTCGCTCTCGCCGGCGAAGAGGGCCCCTGGATCCTCGTTTCGGCCAGCGTTGGTGGCATCTACAGCCGCATCTTCGCCAGTCGCCACCTGCTCGAGATCTCTGGAATCGTTCTGATCGACAGCCTCCACGAAGACTACCTCAGTAACATCGGCTCCCCGGGCCGCGGCTTCACGCTCTGGCTTCGCGGCATCTTCACCCCGCTAGGACTGGACCGTATCGCCGGAGCCATTTTCAAGGGACGCACGCGCGAAGACCGCGTCTACGGCCGCAGCTCCTACCAAACGGGGAAGATCGTCAAGGCGAAATTACAGGAGAACCTTGTCGCTGAGTCGATGACCTCCTCGGAGATCCAGACGGCCAGACACGTTCAGATGGCGGATACGCCACTCGTGGTGATCAGCTCGGGTATTGAGGTCCGGAAGAGTGAGAAGTGGGCGAAGAGACAGGAGGAGTTGACAAAAATCACGAAGAACCTTAAGAACTTTGATATTGTGAAGGGGGCGCCACATGAGGTTTGGCGCGATGTGGAGGGGAGGAGGGTTATTGAGAAGAGATTGGGCGAGTTGGTCAAGAAGGATGAGTAGGGATTGTATTCCTTTTAATATCACTTCTGTTCTTCTTTCCTTTTCCTTCATATTGTGTTCGTGTTTGCTTTCCCTCCTTTTCTCGGCTCGTGATATTCATGTCTCTTCACATATCTAGTCACTTTTATCTCCTACATAACGTGTTTGAAATCTTGCACGATCTTACGAAATTGACGATACATTATGTTGTTATTTTTCCATACTGTACTATATGTACCATATGATACGTACTCAGCTCCATCATTGTTTTATTTCCAAGTAACCCAACTACCCCCGAGAATATAGCATTGACATATGATAATGAAAGTAGCAGAGGCAAATCAATGCAAGTATCCCACGTATTGATAAATGGGAGTATAGTTCATATTCATGTGGCTTGGATGTACCATGCTATACTTTGTAAATATAATCCCCGATTTCCCCGGTTTCCCCCTTTCCCCAATTTCCATTCCTTGCTTCCTTCCCTTATTATTCCATGCCCTTTTCTCCGGCTCGTCCTCCGCTTTAGGTACACGCATGTGCGGCACGGACAAACGATTGTATATGTATTGGAAGTAGGAGATGATCGATATAGAAGGGTGCTGACTGAGACGTTGCGGTTGAGGTTGAGATTGAGATGGAGCCCGAGACACAGGGTGACATAGTAATGGACAAGCAGAAAGAGGTAGGATATAGAGATAGACGGACGGAGATTTGGGATAGGTTGGGATTCGGTCATCGGACTAGTCAACAAAAGAATTTCATTCTAGACTAGCTCCCTTAAACCTCTTAGCAAGACGTTCACTTTCAGATTTGGGAGACTCGGGCCTGGGATGAGAGGAAGAAGAGGTAGAGGAGGGGAGGGAACGTTTTCCGGGGTTGTAGGGCACTGAACGTGGCGGGTAAGGCTCGGGTGTGGGCAGCCAGGGGCGCTTAGGGGGGCGCTCACCACTTTCCTGAAGAATGGTCACCAGGGTAGCCCATCCAGAGGTGTTGATCAGCTGCAGGCCATCTGCGGGGGCACGTTGCGTCGCGACGCGGCATAGTAGGGCTTCTTCGTCCTGTAAGAAGGTGGGTGGGTTTGGTTAGGACGGTTTGCTCCTGAATGGAAGGAAGTCATGTAGGCGATGAGGGTTTACCTTGTTGAATGTCGACAGGGAGTGCAGGAAGCACAGCATGTGGAAGTCCGAGACGGCTCGGATTGCTTTGTCCGGGTCGCCGTGGGTTACTAGCTTCTTCGCCACGTGGATGAGCTCCTGGCTCTCGCCGATGACTTCGCGGTTCTCGATGGGGAAGCTGCTGTCGGTGAATAGGGGGGAGGCGTCCGTTGGGAAACCGTGTGTCAAGGTGACCAGAAGGTACTCGACGGGGAAGCTGGGTTTCGCGTTTTGCTGAGCGCTGATGCCGTACTCGTTGATCTTGCGATAGAAGACCTCGGGGATATACCGCGACTTGTTCTCGGTGTCGTCGTCCTCGGATTGCACCAGCATGACAGAGGGTTCTGCCGATGGTTCAACAATGTCCGCGCGGACCATCTCGACGGCCGCTACTGACGCCTGGTAAGCACTGATTGCAATGGCGCCCTCCTCGTCGCCACTCAGCACACAGGTGACAAAATTCGAGCCGAAGCGGCCTGTTCGGCTCCATTTCGTGGCCTTCGGGTGTTGCGCCTGCAACCGCGCCGCAAAAGCAATCTCCAAGGAGGACAAATAGTAGGAGTCGATGTGTCGTTTGCAGATCACCGAACCGTCTCCACGACCTGCGTCCAGTAGGTCCGTAAAGATCACGCCAATCCTCTCCAAACCACATAGATGTGCAACCTCGTCCACCTCCTTTTCGTTGGGCCATTCATGGAGCGTAACTCCATCCACCTCATCCACTTGCGGTGGCTCATAGATGGCCTGGACCACGGCTTTCACACCCAGCGGAACCTCCTTATACTCCTCATAGGTACCGTAGAGAAACCCTAACCTCTGAGCGCCCGATTTCCGCCAAAAGTCGAGCAACGAGTTAATGAGATCCGGCGAGGAGAACTCCACGTGGTCCACCATCCGGAACTCTTGAGGCTGCAGACTGATCGCACTCGGCTGGCACTTGGTGCAAATGCCCTCCGGCCACTGCGGGTGTCCAGAGGGACAGTCTCGCCGTACCCGATAATACGGCTCACTAAGCGGGGGCATGAACGAGCTGTTGAGTTCGGCTTTGTTGGTCGAGGCGTTAATTTTCCGCAGGTACGAGTGGAATGAGAGGTGTTTGATCTTCTTCTCCGCCAAATACTTGGGGTCGTAGGGCTCGAGCGGCATACAGTAGTCGCACATTCCCTTGGGGCCGTGTCGGCAGAACTTCGTATCCAGGCCTCGCTTGATCTTCCCATCCTTCTTGTCCAGCATATCATCTAGCGGCGATTGTTGCACCACGTCCCAAGGGTTCTTGATCGTGGCTGTAGGCGAGGTCGGCTGCGGAGGGCGGAAGGTTACCGTTTCGCTTTGGGGCACGGGAGCTCCATTTAGACGTCGCGAAGCTTCACCTGTGCTGGGGGTTACGTGGCCGTTGGCTGTGCCATTCTGTTGTCCTTGGTTTTCTTGGTACCCGATGAAGAGCTTATCGCCGTGCCTGACAGGAAAGAACCGAGCAGTGTTAGTAGCTATGACAGGTGACCTGGATCGGCGCAGAATCTGTCCAACATGCGGGTCTCAACTCACTTCAAACCAACTTTGTCCAAACCCACGCCATCTAAGCTGTTAAGAAGTCTTTCTTCACCACCGGTGCCGATGGGCCGGTTAGAGAGAGTGATAGATGAGGGATCGACGTTTGGAGGGAGGCGTTCTAGGATCTAGAGAGGGCATATAAGCACTCATTCGAGCTTTAAGTATTAAGCCATAAGGTATAGGGAACACACCTGTGGCTGCAGAGACGGGAACAGTTCTTGCGGGTTGACCGTCAACCGGAACTGGCCGTTGCGGCTTTCGAACCTCAGTACGATTGGGCGTGACGCCATAGTGGTGACACCCTAGCAAGAAGGGGTTGGACAGAATAGTAGAGTTGAATCAATGTTTGTGCAGCTTAAGTAACACATCAAACTCATCAAACTCATCAGATCATGGCAGTGGGCGGGGTGGGAAGAGAGGTAAGAGAAGTTGAACGAGAGAGAGACAGAGAGTTGAGAGAGCTTGGAGGAGAGCCGATTAAGGCGGCAGCGGAGCTCTATCGTCATTGCACGCCGTTACCGCCTGGTACCACCCCGCCGTCTCTTTTCCGCTGACAAATGGTGTATCTTTGGTAATCCAGATACTTCCCTCGTCAACGCATCCATAGCTTATTCATGACTACACATATTTCTAAGTCAAGAGATGTATATTTATATAAAGTTAAAAATGTATATTTATTTATTATGACTCTGTTCTATTTATATTATGGAAATAGCATCACAACAACAAGAGACCCAGTCCTCCGAATTAAACGCCAGTATCCAATCCAACCCGGTCAAAGCAAAGCAAGGCACGAATGAAACTGCAGGGTATCAAGTGCAAATCGATTTACATAATGGTGCACTTCTTAGGCAAACCACATGGTCCCTCGTTACTCTTGTCTGCATCACTCGCTCCCTGAGTGCCCTGACCGTTCTTGGCTGGCGCAGGCTGGGATTTCGGAGTCTGAGTCGTCTGTTTTTGCGACGCTGCTGCGGCCGCCGCAGGCTGCGACTCCGACTTGGCCTGCTCGCTACCATGTAGTCAAGCGAAGTTGTGGGCAGCAACGTGCTCGTAGAAGGCCTTGCCCTGGGCCTCAGCAACCTCGAGCTCGAGAGCGCTGGGCTGGCGGGAGCCGTCGGCACCCTGTAGAAAAGAAAACTCATCAGTATATTGTCGCTGATAGAAACGGTCCGGTGTCAGCTTTTGGGAGAAAAACTTACAGCAAAGGTACCAGCACCCCAGGCGCTACCACCGTGAACCTCGTTGAGGTTGGACAGCTGGGCGAAGACGGTCTTGTAGCCGAGAGGGACGTAGACGAAACCGTGGTGAGCGAGAGTGCTCATGGCAGCAAGGCAGGTGGACTCCTGACCACCACCCTGGGTACCGGTGGAAACGAAGAGACCAGCGTACTTGCCCCAGTAGCCACCGGAGGCCCAGATACCACCAGTGCGGTCCCAGAAGGCCTTCCACTGAGCGGGGAAGTTACCGTAGCGAGTGGGGATACCGAAGAGAACGGCGTCGTACTCAAGGAGGGTGTTGGCCTCAGCAATGGGGTAGCTGGACTTGGGGGGAGCGTGCATCTTAGCCAGAACATCGTCGGAGAGGGTCTCGGCGATCCTAGACGGTATAGGTTAGTCACCGGGACAATTGCGATAGAATTTCAGTTGCAGCTATTGACATACTGGAAGATGTCGGCGGAACCGCCAGCAGCCTCAATACCCTTCTTCTCAGCCTCGGCCAGCTTGAGGATGTGGCCGTACATGGAGTACTGTAGTTAATTGGCCCATTAGTCATGCGAATTTCCAGAATGTTGAAATGTCACCAAACGGTGGGATATCACTTACGAAGACGATAGCGATCTTGGGAGCCATGGTGATGGTGGGGGTGGTGGGGTGAACCTGGGAGAGAAGAAAGGCACAGAGGAAGAGGTTACTTCTGATGAAGAGGAAAAGAAGACAAGCGAATGGGACCGGCCATGGTGGCCAGACTTTATAGCCTCGAGAGGGAGGGGGGGAAAGGTACCTACTGTGGTCGAGGAGCTCCGCAACTCAAAGCAGCTTCTTCTCACTCAGCGTTTGGCAAGCATCCGTAATCGATTACTAGTACCGTTCGCCTGTTCCCGTACGGACCCTTTCTCTCTGGCACGGTGATTGGTCTGGATGTACCTAAAAGTGGAATTCCGGAGCCACTCGGCGTGATGCCATCCAATCAATCTTGATTGTGGAGCCTTACGGATCATTGACAAATGGAGCTCGGATGGACTCGACTGGCGCTGAACGATCTCTTATTCACCATCTCATAAGCCCCTCCTCTCATTTCCTCCCCGTGGGAACAAGCAATGGAGACACCTTTGGCGGCACGGGTTTGATCCCTCCTCTTTTTGGGAATTGAAGGGCCCCGGATAAAGATTAGGGAATTCTGACAATCTGCTTTCTCATCTTCCATTTATTAACTAGGGGTATCTGCTTGTTCTGTGAGCTGATAGTCATGATGTCATCTGGATAGCACCTAATCACTGTCGACTAATAGAGAGTCTCTCACATTCCTACTGTGGAATAGCTGCTCTCTCTTTGTTTGTTAGGGGTTGCTGCTGACGCTCACTTGGCCCTATTTACAGTGTACACACTAGATACACAGTAACCTAGTTGGAAATTGAGTAGCGGAAATCCGTGCACGGTCTGGCTAGACCATCCATCGACTCCCGTACCCAGCCCCATATTAGATTGTCCCAATGTCTCTAGTAGACACCATATTCCTAATCGAGCTAAAGCACCAGCTCTGCTTCATCATCATTCTTATCGCATATTCTTTCATTCAAAAATCTGTCTCCCTACTATGTATCCTCAGATACACGACAAAGACAATCCAAATGCAACCTTGATAGATCTAACCATGTATAAAAAGTGTAAACATGCCTCTCAGCTGGGTATCTCGACGATTTTGTAAACTCAAATCTGCAAAACAAATACAACCAACCCCTTTCACCTTCCACCATCATCATCATCTTCTTCTTCTTCTTCTTCTTCTTCTTCTATCCGCGTCCACGCCCCCGATACCGACCCCGCATGAAGCCCCCACCGCGACCACGCTCACTCCTCCACTCCCTCTCACGTTCCTTCTCCTTCTCCTGCTCCTCCCGGATCAAGGCCCGTTCCCGCTCCAGCTCCTCTTCGGTCTTCTCGACCCGGATTTGCGGACGGGGGAGGTTCTCCGACCACCGGGGATGAGCATCCACGCAGGCCTTGCCATCCGGACAAAACCCGGCCAAGTAGTATTGACACAAGCGCCGACGAACATGCCGCTTGGCACACAGAGGTCCCAGCTCGCAGAATCCCCGGTCGTAGTGTTCACAGGGGGGCAGACGCGCCTGCTCCCGCACGTGCTGATACAGGCAGTCATCGCCATTGGGACAGTAGCCGGACCGCGAGAAGGACTGGCATTCCGGCATGCGGCGGAGGTTGTATTCATGAAGGTACTCGCACTTGAGACCCTTCTTGCAAAGTCCCTTGAGGAAATGCTTGCAAACCAGCGATCCATGTGTGGTTGACGGTGCTAGTCCCGACGCGGTGGTGGTCGACGTGGTGACACGCGATGGGGTCGGGTGGCGATCGGGACAGGCTGGTCCCAGAGGGCAGTGACCTTCGCTGTAGGCTTTGCAGACGGGTACATCACTGGCGAGGCCGAAGCCGTAGCTCTGGCGGAGGAAGGGGACGAAGGAGAATTCATCAAAGCTCGGGTCGCGGGGGCTGTTGGAGGTGAGCACGCGTGATGCTGCATGGCTCACGTCTGCCGTCATGTTGATTGGTTTAGTGTTGAACGACAAGAGGGTACTAGGGAGGATAGAGAGGTAGAGCAGGAGCTTTTCGCTCGTCGACACGTTTGAGCGGAGGTCCTTGCTTTGTTTGCAGTCAATCAGATGACTGAGGTGGGCTAGGATATAGACCCAATTAGTGCCCTATTGCCTTGCAAAGTGTTTGGCACCCTCAGACACTTAGCATATGGAAGAGAGCAGACTTGAAGAATGATGAATGATCAGTCTGCATCGGAGGAGTCCTGACGAGCGACTCCGAGCCTTGAAAGGGCAGTATGTTGAAAGAGGAAGGCGGTGGCAAATACATTATGCTTATTCAGCAATTCCATTGTGGAAGTCCATCGAACCCCATGTAAATATTGGTAGAACGCATGAAGAACTGAAGAGCAGAAGAGCGTAATTCGAGTAGCATCTACTAGTTACTTCTACAGTGAGATCGGGTTGTTAAAACGGAATCCCTCGTTGATGCTTATTCCCCGCCCTTGTTTGGGCACAGTCAGCCATCCATGCTGCAGCGAGACGTACCCCGTCTTTCGTAGATGGTTGACGGCAGCCTGGGGGAGCGCCGGGCCCAGTTGCAGCAGGCCAATGGGTACGTTTCCCAGGCGCAGGCAAGCCTGGCTGCCCCTGCATACGAGCATTCCTACGACTTACGAGATCACATGGTCCGTTGCTCGATGGGTCTGACGCCCGACTCCCTGCTCGACTGTGAAAAGGATGCATGTTGTACGGTGTAACTTGGAACTGGGGAATAGCCCGGGCAGTAACCTAGTTCCAGTGAGCAGCACAACCTCAATGCTCACATGCTTCCTCCTCCCTTTTTTTCACTTCTTCTTCTTTTCTTGTAGTGAATAGCTTCAGCAACAATACCGCCGCGGTTGTCGGCGCTCCGGAGCGGCTCCTGTCGCTGGCGAGTAACGCGCCGGAGAAAAAGTGTACTTGACGCTAAGAACCCGAGGATTGTCTCACCCCTCCTCGTTCTCGGTGCCTATTCGCTCGGGGATCAAATGCAGATTCAGTATGGGTGAAAAGCTCTCCCACTCAGCATCAAGGTAATTGAGTCGCGGTCCTTCATGCGGGGATGGGGCGTCACTAGTCCTACAGGTTAGTCGTCCGCGGCTGCATCTCCCCCACAACCAACATTTCCCTCAAACGAGGGTGCAAAAGGGAAGGGGAAAAAAAAAAAATAAGAAAAAAAAGCAACGACGGTGGGAACTCTAACTGCAGCCATAAGAAAATAGTGGGCAAAAACTGCATTTTCCAACCCAGTCGATCCCCCAGTCCGATCCGGAACAACCGAGCGAATACTTCATAAGGATTACTGAGCATCTCCCCCATTGTGGCCAATCACTGCAATGCTGATACATCCCGGCAATTGCTCTGGATATATTGCATCAGCAGTCGATCGCTGAATTGACCTCTCCTCAGTCAGAATCAATAGTCCCGTGCGACGAGTCTATAATCTCATCGCGGGCTACTCGGGTTTTGGATAAAGAAGGCTTAGTGACAGACGCCACTGTCATTGGACTTTTGCGAGGTCTCGAAGCACCAGAATCTCACCGGAGAGTATCGAGAGGGTAAGACCCGGGCCTTAAAAACAAACCTTAGCCAGCCGCGTCCTCTGGCTGGTACACCAGATGAAGAGGGAGAACGTTCCGGGGCGGCCAATGATCAACACGATCGCTTGATCTGCTCCTCCGACCTGGGAACCTGGGACAGCAAAAGGCGGGGTGACAACGTTTGGACCGTGTCTGGGTCTGTGGCTGGTCATCATCAGATGCTCCCATCGTCGGACGTTGATCTGATTGACTAGCCCAGGTCACTGCTGATGGAGGAGGGGGAACCGACCGAAATAGGCCCCTAACCTTAGCAGCCTGCATGACAAAGCTGCATAGGATGTTGCCTGCAAATCGGCCGCATTGCAACCCTAGAAACGAGAATACGTACGTGAGTAGTACGTGGTAGGGTACAGGGAAGGGTAGTTGTAGAAAAAGCCAAGTACCTGGATCATGGAAAGAGTGGGATGATACTGATGTAGCCACTGCGTCGGGTCGACTCAAGTGGTTGTACGTGGTTTGGCCGGAGGAACGAAAGAAGCAGCTTTCGTTGTTGTCATTGTTGTTGCTGTTGCTGTCGCTGATGCTGATGCTGATGCTGCTGGTTCATCCTGGTTGCCTTCTTTCCTTCCTGCCAGTCCATCCATTAACAGCTCCGTTGCAGTGTCTCTCTCCCGGTGCTCCTGCTGCTCCTTCTGCAGATCAGAGGGTTTAAATTGCTCAAGACCTCAGCAGAACAAAAAGAAAAAAAGAAAACACCCACTGCCACACTAATCGTACGATCCCTTACCTTCTCCATACTCGCGTGGGGGGAGCAAATCAAAAAGTCCCCAATTCGCATCACCAAAACCAACAAGCACTCCCACACGTGACGCTGGCCATTCTGGGGCTTGTTCCATCTTTAATCCTCGCATCACGATCTTAAGCTTATTTTCCTGTATTTTGACCTCACATCCTGGTCCTCGAAGAGTCAATCTTCCCCTTCCTCTAGTTCTATTGCACCCTTGTTTCCCTCCCCCTCCTCCACCACTGCTGGCCATGTTCTCCGGCTCCTCCCTCTTTCCGCACTGGCGGCGCAAAGCAGCCGAACGCTCCAGTAATAGTTCCTACGAAGTGCCCTTCTTCTTGAATGCTGCCTATTATCCCAATTGGAGGATATACCGGAAACAGCCTCCGTCGGCCCTTCGATTGGGCTTCATTTCTCATATCTTCTACGCGTTTGCATGGTACTAGTAACCTCAAGTCGGCACCATGCTGATGGTCCCAGTCCATACACAGACAGTTGTTAACCAGCCTGCTTTCTTCGTTCACAGGGTTAAAGAAGATGGTACCGTTTATGTAACCAGTCCTCTCCCCTTATTGTGAGGGGCTGATCTCGCTGACAGGACATGCCTTGAATAACAGCTCAGTGACGAATGGGCCGATGCACAAATGCCCGTCGACGGCACTAACGGCTGCCTGCGGGCCTTTGCGCAACTGAAGCCGCAATATTCTAAAATGAAGCTCATTCTTTCAGTCGGAGGAGGCGGCAAGGGCAGCGAGAACTTCGCCCAAGTGGCCCGCAGTCAATCTCGCACCGAGACGTTTGCTCGGAGCGCGAGGGCGCTGGTGGACCAGTTTGGTCTGGATGGTATCGACGGTACGTGCGATGGATCCCAGCCCCTCCCCCCCTTATCATCATGGATGCGTCATGTCAGTATCTACTTTGCAGAAAATAAGGTAAAATTGTGTGCATGCCCTAAGGCTAACCAACCGTGTGCTGGCCCAACAGTGGACTGGGAATACCCCTCCGACCCACAAGAAGGATCGGACTATATCCGTCTGCTGGCGCGACTGCGCGAAGTCCTCCCGGCCCCGCGTTATGTTCTGGCCTCTTGTCTGCCGGCCGGTCCATGGGCTCTCCGCAACATCGATCTTTCCAAGGCGCAACTCTATCTCGACCTGATCAATATCATGGCGTATGATTTCTCGGGCCCCTGGGAGAACCAGTCGGGTCATCAAGCCCAGCTCTTCAGCAAGCATCCCGCAGCGATTTCTTGCCAAAACTCCATCTCCTACATACTCAACCAGGGCGTCGATCCCAAGAAGTTACTTCTCGGGATCCCCGCGTATGGCCGCTCGTTCCTGGGTAGCAGTGGAGCTGGTCAGCGGTATGTAGGCTGTGGCGGTGAAGACGGCGTCTTCGACTATAGCCAGCTGCCGCGACCGGGAGCCAAGGAGCATCACGACAGCAGTCTGGGAGCAGCATACTGCGTAGGCGGTGATGGCGGATTTGTCACATACGACACGCCCCAAACAGTTCAGCAGAAGGCGAAATTCGTCACCAAAATGAAGCTGGGTGGGCTATTCTATTGGCATATTGGAGGCGACGCGCGGGGACCGCGAAGTCTGATTGAAACGGGGTATAACACATTGCATGATATGTAGTTTTCCTTTCTATCTCATTGTCAGTATAGTTAAGGTCGGAGGCTCTTTTGTTCAAGGGAAAGCACGAGAGTGTAAAGACGAAGAAAAACAAAGGCCAAAAAGTTATACCAGGGGAGGGCATCCAAAAGGAGGCACACGTGACAGATTCTGTTTGTTTAGCCATTGTCATCCTGATTGATTGATCGGAAGAAAGAAAACAAGTGAAAAAGAGAACAATAAAAAGAAGAACGACATTCTTATGGCTTGTGTTTGGAACAAAACATAATATCTCGCTTAAGCATCCCAGCTGGGGAAGATGAGACAATCGTTGCATTCATTGATAAGCCCCTCCCTTTTCATAGGGGGGTGGTTTCACCATATGCAGTAACTAAGCAGTGTCTGTGCATCCGCGACTATTATTTGTTTACCTACCTATCTACCTACCCATCGCATCCTTTGTTTCACATTTCCATCCATCATTTCTGCTAATCATCGTATCCTGAAAATGAAAGTTACGAAACTAAAGTAGAAGATTATATCATAGATTATTACATATACTAAATATACTATACTATACTAAGTGACAATTACCTACCTACCTCGACCAAACCAACGATGACACAAGTCCAGCTCTCATCCCTTCATCCATCCATCCATAAAAGGCATATGGGAATCACAAATATCATCGTAAGCAGTAAATAGGCCATATATAAACAGAGAACAAACCATCAACCCTCCGCATAACACACATGTCTCATTTTATATCCCCAACAAGAGAGGATACAAGATCCATCAGTCCGTAAAAGCAAAAATACAGACTTTTAGTTTGAAGGCAAGACTGACTGGCTAAATTAACCGCCCAATGCCTGCGTCACGTTCAATTGAACCTGCAGTTTGAGCGACGCCAGCGCTTCTTCGATGTAGAGGAGCGGCTGGTTGTCGTAGATGCTTGAGTTGCCGGTAATGTCGATGGGGATCATGTAGTCCGGGTAGTTGCCTAGCATGCTGGCGACGGTGAGGGTGCTGACGTTGGCGGTCATGGGGACGGTGTTGTTGCCTGGGTTGATGGTGAGGTCGTAGATGAAGGCCTGGCCGATGCCGGTGTTGTTGACCTCCAGGTTGAGGGTTAGGTTGCCCTGTAGGATGTGGGGTTAGTTGGGATACTGGTATGGCGAATTGGAGGGAAGATGGGAGAATTGCATACCACGGCGATGCTGATGTCGGAGGGGTTGGGGATGTAGACGGTTCCTTTGGCGTTGGTGCCGTCTGTGTTGTTGGTTCCAATTGACATGTCCACGAGGTCAAAGCCGGAGAGCTTGTTGAGGCCTAGACCGGAATGTATGAGTCAGTGGGCTGTGAGAGTTAATTGTAATATATGGGGAATAGGTGAGCTCACCTGTTACCATGGCGGTCTTGTTGTAGGTCACAGTTGTCTTGGGTAGACTTCCCTCTTTTAGCTGGGGCTTGCCGTAGACGTTGAGAGGGAACTGCTCGTTCATGATGGCGGCCTTGCAGAACTCGGCAAATGCCGTTGCGTTGGTCAGGTTCGCACGCTGGTTGACATCGATGACAACGCCATTGTGGCCGTTGAACTGGGGAACCTGAACGTGAGTGAAGACGGCGGATCCCAGCAGGCTGATGGCTGCCGAGAAGGAGTAGAAGGTCGGGTGGAAAGAGCTGTTGGATCCAATAACCTGTAGTTGGTGGAGGTCGAAGGATGAAGGTGAGGGGTCACTGATGATCATTGATGTGACAGTCAGGTTGGAGTCATTGACTATGTGTTGAGCCTCCTTGGGGTATGCGACATAGACTCTGTTTTCCGAAACATGTCATGTAAGCCGGAGACCAGGAAATGGATATGGATGGGGGGAAGGCATCTATTGCCGCGAGAGCAAACTTACACAGGAAGCACCACTACAAGAACAATCACGATCAAGGCGATGATGTACACCCACCACCATCGCTTGAAGTGCCTAGCCACGCGAGCCCCAAAGCTGGGCTTGGCCGTGGCCGCGGCCACGTTAGCACTTTCGAACACTTCAGGCTTGCTGTCACCGGCCATCTTGGTTATAATGCGCCGCTATTCCAGGTCGTACTGAACCTCTCCTCAGACACAATGTACCGATGATGTCGGTGTGACAATGGCGGGGGCTTCTCCTTCCGTGAGGACCGGACCGAGGAATGTGGGATGGCTAGCACAAGTATTGTCTCTACGCAGAGACGGATCCAAGGACTTAAGAGACTTGATTGAAGTAGACAAGCTGCAATGAGGTCAGCAACGGACTGGAGGATACCAAGAGGAGTGCTATATATTCGGCCACCAAGGTGCGACAGCAGCTAAGATACATACCCACCAGTCTGGTCGAGGTCAAGTGACGGGCAAGTGATATGCAAGACCGACGATTGATAGGGTTGAAGAATGACCACGGAACCCAGGAGACCGAATCAAGGGAGGCAAGGGAGGAGAGGAGAGGAGAAAAACCCACAATCAGCCAGGACGAAGGAAAAA